CCCCCACCTCCCACCTCCCCATCTTGAGTACTGTCCGCGTATTAGATTTAAGCGCGTTATAAATGAGCCAGGCCAATACACAAGCACACATAATTTCTGGATCCTCTTTTACTTTAGCTTTCGTCTGCTCATAAATCAAAATTTTTAAAGGCCAGATAACTAACAGTGGAGCTGGGTAGTTTTGTGGGGTCTGGGGGCTTTTTTGGGGGATATATTTTGCTTTTGGGGATCCGGGAATGGACAGCCCTTTGCTGCTTTTACTGTCCATGACGGATGATTGGATTTTATGTTGATTACAAAAATGTCTGCGACTGTATTTGTGTGTGCAAGTCGATTTTTTGGCTCGGCCTTTCATAGATATCTTTTATTTTCCCCTGCAAAAAATTAGGCAAAAGTATAGCAAAGGGTAGCAAATCGAGGTATTTATGGCTCAAGGGGATTGAAATAATTCCTTATCCACAATATGGCTTTAGTTTCAAATGGTATATACTTCCCCTCAAGTTTTATTTACTTGATTATCAACATATATTTCTATTTAATACAAATTCTATTTAATTAATATAAAAATATATTAAATATAAAACCAAATTTGAAAAATTTATTGGTAATATTTTTTTTTTTGTAATTAATGAATATCTTTTTTATTTAAAAAGGTTAAAAAAAGGAGAAACAAACTTGTCACTTAAAAAAAACCATAATACATATCAACAAGTATTTTATTTTAATTATTTATTTGACCAATCTTTGTTATCTTAGTCTTAAGTTTTTGTTATAATAAATCTTTCAGAAATGTTCCACCAAATATGTTTGCTTACAGAACTAATAACTACGTTTTATCTTTAAAACTGTATGCATTTATTATCAGATCAGAGATGATATAAATGCAAATGTTATCACTTTTTTAGTGATCCCAAGCTAATATCCTTATTAATAACCCCTGTACTGAGTACTAACCCGTCCAGATCCTGGTATTTGATGGCTCCTCCTTGGTTTTATCCCCATCTCCTTGCCTTCTACTCGTATTACCAGTTTTAGTCCAGCCTGAACTGCGGCATTATGTTTGGGGCGGGGATTTTGGTGGGTGGAATTGTGAGTAAACTGGGATATATCACAGGGATATTTCGGTTATTATTGGCCATATTTTAATGCTCTCGCTGCTCCAGTCTGTTTTGGGCCAGCCGAGATTTGTCGTAGTCCATTTTTGATTTATTTATGTGTTTATTTATTTGCCTTGTTTTTGGCTTTGCGTCTGTGATTACTCATCGCTCCATGGCTCCCTGTTCGCCCGTTGGGGTGGCACGGATTCGATTTGCATACTGTTTTATTTGCATTTTACATAATAATCTAATTTTATTAGTTTTGCTGCATCATCGACATGAGTGGTGGTGCGGCGGCGGCTCAAGTCATGCCAATCCCAATAATGGCTCTAATGGCACCTTGGTGCCCGAGATTTCCCCCACATCGATTGTTGTATACTTTCGAGTCATTGGCCGACATTTCATAGTAAAATTTCATTTATTTTTTTTTTTTTTTGCTTTGCTCCTTTGGGGACACTTAATGCGAGTTGCGCCTACTCGCAATTCGCTGGGTGGTATGTACTATAATTTCTAGTTGCATTTTTGGGCATTTATTTTCATGGCTTACTTGTAGCATATTTCGCTGGCCACCACATTAATTTTACTTTGCGGTGCAGGGTGTTAAGAGTGGCAGCAGGCGTGTTAAGGATGGGGGAGGGGAGCTGAGGGGTTGGTCAGTGTGCAGGGGTCAGGGTTCAGCGGGTCAGCGGGTTGGTGCAGGGATTGCCCGACAATTGCCGCAGTCTTTGGAGAGTCTTCCCAGCGCGACGGGCAGTCGTAAATTAGTTGCGAATGGCAGCAGTAACACCATCAACAACAACACCACAAAACAACAATCACACCAACAAACACAACAAGAGCAACAACAAGAGCAACAAAAGCAACTAGAATAACTACATCTGAAAAGTTCCACCGTGCAGAGTGAGAAAAGTTCAAAAAGTGGAAAGGAAAAGTTCAGTAAAAGTGTGAGGTGAAATTATTATCAAGTGCTTGCCACGAAATTTGCGGTTGCCTTAAATTGGTACACCTGTTTGCGTTTAAGCGAGTGTGTTCTTATTTAACATATCCACATGGACATACCTGGAGTTTCCTGAATAATAATAAGCAGTAGCTAAACTAATTAGCATGCACAATTATTACCCGGTTTATCCATCTAAATTTAACACTCGCAACAATTTCACCAATAAGAGATACATTTAAATACACCAACAACACAAATATCTAATTTTATATATCAAAAACAGAAATATCCCTTGAAATAGCAAACTATTTTTTTCGATTTAAAAATGGAAATCAGAAGATAATACGATGAAATTCAAACAAGATTTACTGCAGCTATTAACATTCACATCAATTTCACCAACAAGAGATCCATATAAATACACCAACAACAAAAATATCTAGGATTATTCATTGGAATAGAAAACAATGTTTTCTTTTTTAAATTGGGAATCAGCAGATTAAATAATTAAATTAAAAGAAGACTTACTGCACTAATGAACACTGCAACAAATGTAGAAATATACGACTTGAACCACAAGAACAGTACAAATAATTAAAGACAAAAGGCAATAAATGCAATATTGGATGTCACTCCAAGGTTATTTTCCCCGACATTAAACAGTTGAAAAATAATGCCCCGGGTGATGCCCCGAAAAAGAATATAAATACTCATTCCCTTAGTTCGATTCCGATTCCGATACCGAATGACTTGCAGCAGACAAACCCCAAAATCTGACTCAGAAGCCTAAACGTTCGATGCAATTTGGGCGGTTTCTGGTGGCGCTGCCATTACCAATTATTGGCGCTGTTATCGCGACCTTCTTGCGCTGACCCCAATTTGGCCAATAAGGTTTCCTTGTCGAAAAAAAAACATCTACGGGGGAAAAAAAAACAGAAGAAAAAGTATTTACAAAGGAAAGGGGAGCCGCAAGCTTCGAGTTTCGAGCTTGTTGATTGCCTTCGCGTCTCGGCGATGGCAGCTGATTGAAGTGCAAGGTGAGCGGGGAATGGGGGGGGAGGCGGGTTTAGGGGCCAAGACGGCTCTGACAATTTCTCTCAGTGATCGGGAGGGGGTCTCCTTGGGCAGGTTTCTCTTTCACTTTTAATGGCAACTGGCATAATGAGCTGCTATGTGTGCCATGTGCCACCAGGCCAAACTCGAACTTGCTGCATTTGTTTTGGCCACTTGGGACCTGGCTAAAAAATCCAGGCCCCCCAAAACCCCACATTCGTTGCCCTTTTGGCCAGCATTGACACAATAAAATATTTGTTGTCGTTGCATTTATTGACGCATTCGCTCTTTTGCATATTTTGAATGTTTCCATGCCCTTTGAGAAGGTATTTCCATTTTAACTACCTTACGTTACCTTAATCTATGAAAATTTCCACCTAAACAAAACAACCTGTTAACCTATTCCTATTAAAAATGGTACCTCTAATACATTTTTTTAAGGCTTTTAAAATTAGAAAAAGTTTAAAATATAAATTTCAGTTGCTAACATCCTGAGAGTCACCAAGCACCGAATTTAAGAACCTGAACTTCATATTTGTTTTACTATTCACAACTAAATAATTTTGATTCATTTTTATCCAAAAACCCAAACGCGAATTTTTCAGTGGAATACAAAATATTAATAAATGGAAAATTATTGATAAAAGTACGGAGTCTAGTCAGATTTTAATTTGGAAATCACGATTTGGTAAACATTTGCAGGAAATGATACAAATTTATGAAAAAAAGTCTGCAAATATTTTTCAAAATTGGATGTCCAAAAATAATGAATACTAAGGGGGCGTCAATCTTAGTTTTCCTTATATTTGATTGTCCTATATATTTTACTTGATTTTGAACTCGGATTTTTTAATTTTCAATTTAGTTTTTCCTAAATATTTAAAGAAATTATAGCTCCGATTTGTTTAAACAAAAACTCTTATTCAAGTCTCCTTAAATATATATACACCATCAAAGCACCAAAAGCAAAATTGTCAAAAAACTGGAGAGCATCCACTATTTGTGAGCCTGATATGTCCGATTTCGCACCGCTTTTTGCCGTTGTTGTTGAGGGTCCGCGACATGCGACAAAATAAAATGTAATTTCTCTTTCAGGCCCAGTTTCAGTTTGCATTTGCAGTTCCCAACCCTGGCCAACATGCGACAATTCAATGCTGACAACAACGACGAAAAATGGCAAAAATAACAACGATGGCAACAACAAAATATGCAAATCGTAGTTTCTAGTTGAGCGAGGTCAGGCATACGGGTTTTGGGTTTGAGTTTGGTTTTTGGGTTTGGGTTTGGGTATGGGTTATTGGCCAAATTGAAGTCAAGTGCAATCGTATTCCCGCCCCATCGAACGTAAATAATTTAAGAGTGTGAAAACCAATTTTTTGTTTTTCATTTGTGCTCCGTCCAGAATTTTGTTTAGATTGTATTTCGGACAAGTGAAAATAATTACAGCAAAAAATAAAATTTCGTTATTGTTATAATCTCGTTGAAATGTGATATTGGAACTTTTAATTGTTATGCATTTTTAAATGATTTTATTTTGAGTTTAGTTTTGTGTCATTGCCATTGATTTTGTTAGCCCATTTAATAGTTTTTACAGAGGCATTGTTTATTTTACTTATGCCGTTCATTTATATTCGAATATGGCCCAGTGACATTTTAATTTCGGATAATTTCCATGCCAAACGATTCAGCTGTTTGATTTAAAATGATAACTGTTCAAAAGATTTCATTAAATTGAATATTCGTTGGGTAAACAATTCGATTTGGCACAGTAATTGGTAATTACGGCATGTAAACAAAGTCCGGCTAGTAAATTAAATTAAAAATTCCATAGTATAGTTATGCATAACAATAATTTCCATTAAATTTTTTGATTTATTATTTATTTCCTTTTTATGTATTTGAGCTTTAAGGCTTGATGAATACTGTTCATATTAATTATTATCTATACATATATTTATAAAATTTTTGAGTTTGTGTAGACTTTACATTTAATTCTCTTTGTATTTTTACATATTTTAATGATTTGGTTGCATTGTAAAGTATTCTATTTCACATTACAGTAACTTCTGGTTATATTTTTACAATTTAATGCAACTTTCTAGATTTTTTTTTTTACTTTACTTAATATTTGTATTTGAGGCTGCTATCTTGGTTAACCAAAGTCGATGCATTGAATGAAGGGCGGTGAAAAATAGATCATTGCCTCACATCCAATCCACCGAATCAGGCAGTCAAAATATCAGCCTCCTTGTTCAAAATCTTATCCTCGAAATACCTGGGCGAATAGTTGGGAGAGGTGAAAAAACTGGACCTATTGGAGATCTTGGTGCGCAAGCGTTTGCTGGTCACCAACTGGGACATCTTGCGGAGCGTTATGTAGTCCTTGTTCAGCATGCGGCACAGCTCGATGAAGGTGCACAGTTGGGGTGACTTCAGTTCGGTGGCCAGATCGTAGGCGGAATTGAGGACCTCCGTTTGCCGTTCGTACTTGTGGAGCACTGCATGCGATTTGGCCATCAGCATTGTGCTGAGGAACTCCCAAATCCGGCTGTTGCATAACCTGGCCTCGTCGATCGACTTTTGGGCAAAGGACAGGCTCTGAACGAAGTGATTCTTCTGCATGTGCCGGTCGGCCAGTTCGTGGAGCAAGTAGCTTCTCTCAATCGGCAGGCGGGCGAAAAGTAGACGCTTCTCCAGATATTCAAAAATATTTCTAGGGGACAAAGATTAAGTTTAAAATGATCTTCCTCCATTTTCTACGTAATGTAACAAATAAATGTATTACAAATTGGTTATTGAGTTGTTCAACCTACTTGTTAAGGATTATAAAAACAATACTTGAATATATTATGGGAAAAATTAAATTTAATGGTTCCTTAAGGTTTAAAATCACTTTTAAAGGTATCTAAAAAAGGTATCTAAAAATATAACATCGTCTTTCGGCATTTATTCATCCGTTTATGCATCGTATTTATATATCTTACTAATTGACATTTTAAAATCTCTTGATATCGAATGTAATATTGGATAGTACAATTTTGTTATTATTATTATTTATTAATTAAATTATATAAAAAAAATATAACAAAATGAGAAAGAATGAGAATCTTTCAAAAATATGTATTAATTTTAAATCTCTTTGGAAGATCTCTAACAAATTTTTTAAAGAAGAGAACATTTTCTCGAAAAAAAGACAAGTTTTCTAAAAATATTATATTATACTTCTTGACATTGTAATAAGTAATTTAAAATTTTCTGGCACCTTGAGAGGACAAATGCCTTGCAATATTTGGTAGTTACTTTTAAACGCGTTAATTAATTACACAAATAAAAAAAGATGTTTTAATATTTTAAAACATTGAACTAAATAAAAGTATTTGGTAGTATACTTTAAAACTTGTAAAGTGCACATAGAACACCAAAAATATTAGAAAAATAAATGCTTTTGTAAAAACATCAAAATATTTTTAAAATATCTTTTAATTTTATATGTCCTCAAAAAATCCCTACAAAAATTGTTTTGAAATATGTATAAAATTATTCATTATTCATTCATTTATTGAAGTTTACTATACACTCTATATATAGAGTGATTTCTGTGGAGCCTAGGAATTTGAAATATATTTTGTAAGATTTTAAAACATGTTAACTAAGTGAACAATTGGTGTAAGTAAACTCACTGATCTGCCAGTCGGTCGGTGCTCTGCTTGTCGGGACCAGCATAGGCGTAGGTGGATCGGTCCCCGAAGATGAACTCCGAGTGCTCCAGCGGCTTGGCCGTGGGAATGTTGAGCAGGTGGCACATGGCGCCCTTGTCGTAGGGCGTCACCCTCGTGGGCGGCAGGCGGTAGCTTTCGCACAGGCTCAAGGCCAGGTTATTGTACACCTCGTTCATGAACTCCGCCTTCCAGGGCATCAGGCGGTTCGTCTTGATGACCACATAGTTGCCCATCACGTCCTCTACGAATTTGCGAAGGCGCTTAACGATTTAAGGGTGAAGAACAAGATCGGATAATATTGATTAAGCTAAGACGTCTAAAACTAAATCAAAATATTAAACACTAATATATAATAATAATAATTGATCAGCATCACTAGGAGAGTCGATTTTGTCTCTAGTTTTAAAGCTACCCGCATGAAACTTTCCCAAAAGAAAAATAATTTTTTTTGTAGTTCTTCGAGAAATAGTAATTGTTTAATGTTTCAGAATTTCGATTTTAATTGTATTAAAATCAACCGTATACAGCATATAGCTTCCATGGAAACAATCAAAATATTAAAATTATAATTATCAAAATATTAAAAGTAACTTTTAAATTTTTTCATATTTTCAAAAAAATACTTTTGGACATTATAATGATTTAATAAATCAGAATTACGCTTTTAATTTTACTCAAGTCAGAAAACGATCATACTCTAATTTAGATGTTTTAAGGAATATTTAATCTTTGTAATAGCTGCAAGGGTATATAAACCCTTCCTGTTTTCCATAGTTCTAAGCTCACCTTGAGATCATTCTTTTTCCTCAGGACGCGAATGGTTCGCAGGATGCTGAACATGTTGCGTCTGGTTTGGTACTGAATCCTGAACAGGTTCGCCGCCCGCATGCTGTCCTCCATGCGTGGATCTCGCTGGAAGTACTCATTGTACATGGGACTCCGGGCCTGGAGCATTTTCGTGAAGATCCTGAGCCGCTGGAACGAACTCTCCAAATACTCGGTTCTGGCCGGCGAGGAGCCAAAATTGTGGTCCAGCAGGCAGTTGTGATTGCGGCGAAGGGTTTTCAGGAAGATGAAATCGGTCCAGTTGCGACCCAGATAGTTCTGATGATAGATCTTCGTCTTGCGACGCCTGCGCTCCTCTTCCAATGGCGACAGCATCTCCGCCTTGCGATCGATGGTGCTCTGGACATCGCACTCCTCGCGCTCCTTGAGGATCTTCCACAACGGTCGTTTGTCCGCCTTCCGCAGCTCCTCCTGCTTCTGTTCGTAGAAGCCTGGCAGTTGGGTTGAGTGCTCCATGAAGAAGTTGGCCAAACTGTAGCCCGTGCAGTCCTTCAAATTCTCATCGACCACGAAGAGGCGATTTTCGAAGCCTTTCAGGGCGGTGCCCGCATGTCGACGCATATTGTTGTGCAGCAGACTCTTGTTATCCTCGAACCGATTCAGATCGTACAGGGCGTCGGCCAGCTCCATGGATATATTCGCATTCCACACATCCCGCGCCTGCGTTGCCCTCAGGCTGTCCTCCAAGGCGCCCTGCGTGAGGGCCACCGATCTCTGGAACTTGCTGCGCAGATAGAAGGCCTTGTGGTCCACACCATCGTGCTCACCGATGCACTTGTCGAAATATCGCTTCGCGGAGTTGTTCCGCCGCATCCTCGCAAAGTACTGGCCCCAGCTGCGGTGGATCCAACGCTGCTGCTCCGACGGCCAGTCGAAGGTCTCCCACGCCCTCAGATTGGCCACCAAAACGCCCGCCGGTGCCGATTGAGTTGTGTCTTTCATCCTGCTGTTCAAGTCTCCTCGTCGGTCAAGTAAAAAACAAATAAAAAAAAAAAAAAAACTAGCTACGGGAAAAAAACCCTAAAAATAAATGGTACAAAAAAATTGAAACTAAACCAATGTGTCTCTCCTAAAACAGAAATGAAAATGAAGGATATGTCATGAGCTCATACTTAAAACTTAACGTGATTCTTTCATTAAAATTACTTTGACAAACTCCAGAATGCCAGCAAGAAACAATAAGAACCACACATTTCATAGAGTTTATCGACAGTTTATGTATACAACATTTAAATATCTTTCCCTAAGCCCATATAAAGCTAAACAACTAAATTTTAGCTAGCCAAGAAGTGGAAAAAAATCGAGCGAAACATCAAGGCTAGATCTTTTAACAACCAATAACCATATAACAGCAATACAAATTCCAAATACAAAAGGAGTGTGTACGAATATCAGTGCTCAAGGTGCCTGGGATGATCGATCACTTTTGCTGGAAGGGATCCTTGCCGATGTAATTGTCCAGCCGCTGGGCGCCATCTGGTTCCACCTGCGACAGCGCTCCGAATCCCTCCTCGTCGACGAAGCAGATCTCATGGCCATCGGGATCGCCAAGGATGACGACCGAAACGGTGGCCTTTCCCGGCGTGTCCAGGGTGATCAGGGGCGTCAGGATAGCCCCGCCCGCGGCCTTCACCGCCTCCTCAAGCGGCGACTGTTGGGCCGTCGGAATGGCAAAGGCAATCCGTCCATAAGCCTTGGCTCGGTTCACCGGCTCTGCGATCTGGGTGATCTGCAACGAAGCCTGCTCTCCGCCGTAACTCAAACGCAGGCTACCTTCGCTCTCCTCGAGCACATTCATGCGGAGCAGATCGTGCCAGTACTTTCTGGAGTTCTTCAGATCGCTCACATTCAGCTCCACCGATTGGACGGGATCGGAGTTAGCGGACGGCTGATCATCGATCACAAAGAACTTGTAGCCATCGGGGGAGGTGAGCAGACTGCCCGCTCTTCCAGCCACCTGCTTCACAGGATACGAGTGCTCGGCGGCCCGGGAAAGGATGTCCTTCGAATGTATGACTACGCCGCCAAAGTCGTTGCCTATAGCAAACAGATAAAATGAGGATTAGCAGGGGATTTCCAATGTCTTATATTTCTAAAACATACATAATTCTTTATAAAAAAACATTTTTATTTAAATAATAAATCTTCAAGTATTCTTATAAATAATTTAATAAACAAATTGAAAAAAGAGGTTACTTTTAAATGTTTTTTATTTCTAAAGAGAAAACTTTTTAGCCTTTTAATATATTATACACTTATTCATATCAAACAAAAGCCATAAACATCCAGCTCATTAACATTATCAATTATTGATAAACAGAAATGTTTTTTGAGTAGGTTTTATAATAACATCACTGATTAATCAACTGTCTGGTAGATTTTGGCCTCCTTGAAGATAACTATTTGCTTGTCATAAAGCAAAAGATTATTAACCTATTATCTGCAGTAAATTGTGCCCTGTCACTAATCAAATAGCTATTAATAGCACTTAATTATAAAGTTGTCGAAGAAAGATCAACTTATTTGTTAAGATAAGTCAAATAAAATTATACAAGTGCTAGCTGAATACGTTTTTTAACTTTGCTAAAATCTTCTAGGGATTATAATAAGTTATAATAAGAAATAAATGTAATACAAAAAAAATCGTAAAAAAAAACAATTTATCATGTAAATAATAAAATGTAAAATTTTCATTTTGGTTTTTATTCAATAAGACCTATAAGGGTTAAGCTTGCTGCATTTTGTTGACCCAAGGACATTTAACACCTATGCGACCAAAGGGTTTTTTTTTTTATTTTCTCTCACCCATTTCGTAGCTGCTCACTCCATAGTTATATGTGAGTTCAATGACAAAATGCGAACTTTCGGGTCCATAGCCGACCATCGTTTTGCTCCACCGGTTGTCGTAGGGCCTGCCAAGGGTTAACGATCACCGGTTAGTCCTGCTACGACTACATGAAGTCATCTCCTTCGCACTCACCCGTTGCATGCGGCATCGCATCCCTCCTTAAACTCCTCATGCCGTAGCACCTGTTGCCGTGTGAGAAAGCAAGATAGCACGCAAGCAAAAAAACAATAGAAAAGTACATTATTTTTACATCGTCATTATATGACATTATCGGGCATCTGGGCTTTTTAATTAGCGGCTGCGCGTCGTTGACACGTTGTTCAGATAAAACTACAGCCAGACACCACAGCCTCGATAAGGAAGTCTGCCGATTTGGAAAGATATCTCCCATTTCCCCAACTTTTACCGTCATTCCCAAGATTTGGCGAAAGAAAAATGAGTTTTTGGCCCGATCTCCGATCTTGAACACGTAATGCAATGCACGTCCCGAAATCGCCGACATTTTTTTAATTTGTTATAACTTTAGCTGGGTTTGAATTGTTAAGGCAAATGATTTATAATTTTTTTTCGGACTTGTTTATGTACATTCGGGCCAAGTGTGACCGTAGGCAGTGCGCCAAAAAACACCAACTTTTGGGAGCTTTTGGAATTATCGATAGTCGTTTTATATCGTGTAGCTCCCTTCTCCATTTATTTAATAAACAACAGTTTTAAAAATTTTTTTTTAATTTAAAATCAAGTTGAGCATTATTCCACCATTATAAAGTTCTGAAATCTTTATATAATTACTATATATTAATAATATAAACATATTTTATTTTTGACTTTTAATTGTTGGTGATTATTTAAAACTAAAACTTATAAGCTAACTTTGAAACCAACAAATGTAACCACCCAAAATAGTCCTCAAATATTTCTGTAAACAGTTTATATAATAACTATTTAATTAATCGTTAAAAAACACTAAACAAATTATTTAATAAATTTTGCTAATGTTTAGTACACGTACACTGTGTTTTTTGGGAATCAATATAATTTATATGGATTGGAGTAGTTTATCATGAGGTTTTTGGAGTGCTCAATTTATTGTCATGGATGTGCTCTTCTAATTTCTCCATTTGCGGATCGTTTTCTGGCTCGGTGTCCTGCTCTAATTTGTGCTCCCATTCTGGATCCTCCTGCTCTAATTTGTGCTGCCACTGATATTGTAGATCCTGGCTAAATGCCTGCTCCTTTATCGGAAACTCCTGATCTTGTTGTCTCTCCTTATGCTTGGTTGGCTCATTTGGTTGGTTTTCCAGTGAGTCCCGATCTCTATTCCGCTTTCTGAGCTTTCTTTTCTGGCGAAGATGCTCCTGCTGCTCCTCCAGATCGTCCTGATTCTGATCCCGATCATCCTCCTCTTCCTCCTCATCCTCCTCTTGTCTTTTCCTGTGAGCCTCGCTTCCGCTGTGCCTCCTCAGATGCATCTCAAGATTCTGCCGCGAAACGCAGGCCTTCTGGCAGTGCATGCAGGCAAAGGGCCACTCCTCGGCGGCTCCCTCGCCCGTGGACTCGGCATGCAGCCGCTCGTGCCGCACCTGCGAGGCATGGGTGCCGAACTTCTTCTCGCAGTGGCCGCACTGGAACCGTCGCTGACCCTCGTGAACCACGCGAACATGCCGACTGATGGCACTTTTGTGGCGAAACAGCTGCGGACACTGCTCGCACTTGAAGCGCTCCCAGGTGGGATTGTGGGTGCGCAGGTGGGTGAGTAGCTCCGTTCTCGTCACCTTGGCCACGCCGCAGTGCTCGCACACATGCTCCTTGTGCTGCGCATGCCGCTTGAGATGCTCCCCCAAAGCGTTTTTCGTGCTATACTGGCGATTGCACAGCTCACAGATGAGCTCCCGCAGCTCCTGCTGCAGTTGCTCCAGCTGGGGATGGGCATTGCGCATGTGGGAGCGCAACTGCTCGTAGCGGGTGAAGCACTTATCGCAGCTGCGGCACAAGAAGGGCTTCGAGTAGCCCTGGTGGACGCTGCGGATGTGGGCCTCCAGGTAGGGCAGCTTGTACACCTGCTTGCCGCACTGATCGCAGGCCAAGCCGGCTCGTCGCTTGTTTGCGGTGCGCTGATCCACCAGCTCCTGGCTGTCCTCCTGGTCGAAGCGAGCCTGCTGATCCTTCTGTTTGTCTGCCAACTCGTCCTCTGGCAGGCCATCCTGCTGCTGCTGCTCCTCGCATTCCTGTTGGGTTTCCTCTAGATCTTCGGCCAGGTCTTCCTCTAGCGGCTCCTCCTTCACCTGCGGAAGCCCTAAGAAGGTATTAATCCTGACTTAGCCAGCCCAAAAGGCCACCATATATGCACCATGTCCTTTGGCTGCCACTCGCCCAGTTTTCGGCTGGTTTCCCTGGCCACTTGGCCCAGTTCCTCGAAGTAGGACACCGCATTGTGGCACAGATTGCAGATTTGGGTGGGAAATCCATCCGGCTGCTGCAGAATGTCGATGTCGAGGAACTTCTGGAGGATCGCGATCAGGCGGGGATCGGGACACTGCGATTCCCGGTCACGCAGCTGACGCAGGCAAATCCTGCAGAGACGGGCCAGGTCTGTGAATGCGGTGAACATCGCTGCGGATCCAAATGCACCGAATGCAACGCCCCAAGTGTAGAATCGAACTTTTATTAAGCTAACAACTTCTTTTTTTTTTCTGCAGCCAGTGTGGCCAGAGCCATGCGGCACCTGTTGCACTCCCCGGTCACTGCTACGGTCACTCTTTGCAATATCGTTATTTACTGCATTAATTATTTTAAATATCTTGTGATGTTTAAGCACTACTCATGCATTTCTGTCAATCGTTTCATCATCGCTATGGGAAAATATATATCATTTCAATTGGTTCAATTTACTTTGAAATCTATACAAAATTGGATTATTATTTATTTGAAACAGTTATTTTAATCTAAAATGCATATACATTTTTATAAATATCTGAAGCAACGGATTCTTAATTTTGTAAGCTGGTTAAACTTTCAGTGACTTGTTTCCCAATTTATTTATATACAAAATAACACATGTTCAATATGCTTATATTCAAATTAAAAGTTGGTAAAATCAAGACATTTTAGTTATATCAAGAATAATATATATATATATGGTTCAACAACCACAAAAGATATAAAAAGATACGGTTTTTTAATTTATTTGAGTCCACCTTTTGTTTATGCTGTGCCAATAATAAACAATGCCCGTGGGAAAAGTTTTTTTAATCGAAGTTACTGTTTTGTTTTCTATCACCCTTTAATAACAAATTATGAACAAGTTACAAGCAAGTGAACTTGTAATATTTTTGAATTTTCCGAGCCTTTCACGGTATTTATTTGAGACACCCACCACATACCACCACTGTTGGTATTTACTTCGGTGCAGGGTGGTATTTTTTATCGTTATCGTAGCGGTCACACAGCTGTGCATTTGCTGGGCAAATTTGGTTAGTTTTTTTTGTACTTTTTTGAAATACATCGTGTAGCAGCGATCGGATTCCCTTTTAATCCTTGAACGCCAATCCGGAAAGAGAAATGTCGCTGAATCCGCAGTACGAGGACATTGGCAAGGGATTTGTGCAGCAGTACTATGCGATATTCGATGACCCGGCGAATCGGGCGAACGTGGTTAATTTCTACAGCGTAAGTGTTGTTGTGTTCTGCAGATATTGCCTCTCCTCTCCTCTTCATTCCTATTATTGCGGTTCCACCTTTTGCTGCTCTCCTTTATCCGCATCTCCTCCTTCGTCCATCTGTTGCTATCCCGCTCGCACACGCAGTGACGCGCGACGCGCCCTTGAAAAATTCCGCCTCCTTTTGGGGAAAATCGGGCGCAAAACTAAAAAGAGCGCGAAAATGGGAAAAGGAAAAATGCAGCTGGAAATATAGATATATATATGCAATATCGGGAGAATAGGATAATAGAATGGATGATGCCTGGTCGCGTTCGATTCTCGAAGTTTCGAGTGACACATTACGCCCATGCTCGCATAAATAAATACACACAAACGAAATATATGGCCAACATACAGCCGAGGTCAACGCAATAGCTCCCAGGAAAAAATACAATTGACTGGGGTGAATTGATAGTAACAAAATTCAGACAAAAATAATAATTTAAAAATAATTTGAGGAAAAATTAGTCTTAAAAATATATTTGGTATACAAAAAAAGTATTTGAAAGTTCTAGCCATAGTTTTAATAACGTTCTGTTTATAAACATAATAGCAAAAAAATCACAATACTTCAGATTACTATTAAAAGTAATAATCAAAAAGTTATTAAAAAAATGGTACTCAAATTAAAAAAAGTTACAATTTCTTGACCCATTTTAATATTTATAAATTTTAAATTATGTAACCCAATTTAATTCAATAAGTTAGTATAACTCCAAGAAAGTATTTAAATACTTACATTTTTCATTCCAGGCTACCGACTCCTTCATGACCTTTGAAGGTCACCAAATTCAGGGTGCACCTAAGATCCTCGAGAAAGTTCAGGTGAGTTCCGATTATAGACAGTTCTTCGATCATACATATGTATGTATATTAATTCGTTGTGTTCTTGCAGAGTCTGAGCTTTCAGAAGATCAACCGTGTGATAACCACAGTGGATTCGCAGCCCACATTCGACGGTGGAGTGCTAATCAATGTCCTCGGAAGACTACAGGTAAGCAGATCGATCCCCAATAGCAAAATGAACACAAATCACCAAACCATACAAGCAACATTTCCCGCAACTTGCCGTCGAAAAGAAAAACTTAATGACTGCCTGTTGTACAGCGGCGGCTAGGATAATAGCACTGTCCACCAAATCAAATCACTAGTTGTCTTTCACTTTGTATAATTCAACATTCAAATTTTTGTTTATTAAATTTATTTGTACAAATTTCTTCTTATGAAATAGATACCCATAAATCGCACTGAAAGTCGAATTTTGTAGATGCATTTTAGTTTATCTGTATTTTGTAATCACTTAAGCAAGCCACATTTTCTGATTCCATGTAAGACTTATAGATGTATAAATATATTTTTACCTGGAATGTGAACCTAAGATATTGATATTGCCAACAAATATTAGTAGAAAGAATATAAACATATATTTCACCTGTAAAGGAGGTGTCAATAACTAGTTTATAAATTAACACCTTATCGTTTGTGCTGAAAAATATATGTATCATAAATATGCTGTAAATATAACCAGAAAAAAAAATTGATTTATTCCGAAAGCTATTAAATCGAATCATTTAAGGTATTAACTCATTTTTCGCATTTATGGCCTTAAAGTCAAGTTCCCTATTGGGCAGTGCTATTAACCGACCGCCGTTGCATCGAATATACCATATGTACCACCTGTCGTATATCGTATATCGTATATCTCAACTCTGGTTATTATAAAACAAAACAAAAAATATAAAAAAAAACATTCGAATCCAATGAAGACCGATGAGGATCAGCCGCATGCCTACATTCAGACCTTCGTATTGAAGCCGGTGGGCGGGAGTTTCTTTGTGCAGCACGATATATTTCGGCTATCGCTGCACGATGTGTAGCCCCACCTCCGATCTGCCACGCCCAGTCAACAGACTCCAGCGCCCGGCCACTTATATGCAAATCGAGATCGAGAAAAGCAGCCAAATGATCAGCCAGCAGCGAGGAGACGAGAGCCAGTTAAAAAACGAAAGAAAACTTTATCTAAGCGATAAGATAATTCTGCTGTTAGTCGACTTTCTGCCGCCCAGCCCCGCCCACTTCGCCCACAAGACCAAAAAATCCAAAATATCCTTGGCGTCTCGTCGTCGTTCAACTTCTTCCAATTGTCCTCACAGTACGTGAATTTCCCAACGACAATTAACCGAAACAAAATGTTGCGCCTTTCATTTCGTGCATGATTTTCGTTAATTTTGAGTTGGATTTGGTTCTTCTTAACAATTTGCAGAAGGTCGCTGGCAAATTGGAAAATTTTAATATGAAAAATAAAGTTTAAACATTTTAGAGATAAAATGCAAACTAACAAAATCCAGAAATATAATATACTGAGGACCATTTTCTCTTTTTAATGTAAAGCATAAAGTAGACATTAAACTGCAAATATACATTTTCTTTTAGCTTATTATAAAGAGAGCCGTGGTAAAAATTGAAAAGCAAAAACAAAAAAATCGATTGAATTAAATGTCCTGTATTATAACCTAATTAACAAAATCAGTGGTTGCTCTAAAATCATTAATTTTTCCAATAAATAATCTGTGTTGCTCTAAAATTTTCAAGTTCCCAATCATTTTCTTATTGTGAGTTAAATAAGTGTTTAGATGTTTGTCATTGGAATGTGTTTTAAAAACGATTTACAATGGTGTTTTTCTAAAATGTATATTTAAATACATTCAAGAGTTATTGAAATTTGCTTTAAATGAAAAAACAAGTTCAACACAAAACGCTATTATTATTATTTTTTAAAACATATACATTTTTATTTAATGTGGTTTTATTGCCAATTTATAGTAAACCCAAATTTTAATTTTTTCACTACATAGTTTTAGTACAATATTGTACAGTAAATTATTTATTAAATGTAATCCATGTTTCTATTGAATGACACGACATACACCTGTTGTTGGGGAGTTTAGTTCTGGTCATCCAATTTGCGAGCGACCACTGTACAGTGAACACGCACCTGCACACGAACAATATGGCTACCAGTTGTACACCACTTTACCTCTGACTTCGGCTTGAAATTGTGTGATTTTTCCTTTCCATTTCTAACTGCAAAACTCGAAATTGGTTTTTCGCACGCTTGTTAATGAATTAAACATATACGGTTGTTAATATTGATATTTGATTGATATATGTGTGATTTGATTGTTTTGCAGTGCGATGATGATCCCCCGCACGCCTTCTCGCAGGTATTTTTGCTAAAGGCCAACGCCGGCACCTTCTTCGTGGCCCACGACATCTTCCGTCTCAACATCCACAACTCTGCCTAGGAGATATATCCCACTCCGCTGGACATATATATCCCATATACATACGCACCACTCAGCAACACACACCCGACATCCAAAGATGCCCAGCGCCAATCGACAACAACTGGCTGGCAGTGGAACTCAATAAGAAATAGCAAAACAAAACAAAAACAGCGGTCAGCAAGTTCTCACGTCTATCAACAAATGGCAAAAATGCAAACAAAAAAAAACTATAAAAAAAATGAGATGAAATTATATGCTAACTACTATTACGATGTAAACGAAATGGGGCACCAGCTCACCTTTATTTGTGTCCCTTTGCGCCCGGTACTCTCGATTTACGGGGGCCGATCGAAATGTATATTCCGCGAACACCTGGATCTCGGGATCCAATTTAGCTAGGGCTATCAAATTAGGTATGTGGCCAGCTAAGAGTTTGGTTTACATTACATTTACATTTCCCCGGAAAATAATCATTAACAGCTAATTTAAATAAAATTGATTTAAAACAATATCTAAAGAACTAATATTTTCAATTGACTAAACATCTGTTTTTGTACTGTATTTATGGAAATTATTTTAGACAGTCGTATTGCAAATGTTTTCCATCGAATTTCTCACGTTTTTTAACCATAATCTGAGTACCGGGAACATTATATAGTCGAGATTGTCGACTCTAGCTTTCTTGTATGACTAATTGAGTGATGGCGAATTACTTTTTATTGAGACAAAAAAAAAAAGAACACTTAAATATAAAGATTAAAGTTAACAGTTTGTTTGTTTGTATGAATGGTGAAATTTAAAGCGGGAAGAGAAATACCATATATATCCTTACAACTATTAAATGCAAAAAAAGAAGCTCCAGAGGATTTGGCGAAGTGACTTCCAGCTGAAAATGATTCACTTGTCGCGAAATGTGAAGACGGCATCGAATCCGAACAGCACTCCATTGACGATCGACAGTGAGGCCTTGATAAGTGCGAGATCCCGAGTTCGAGTGCGGAAGGAGAACTCCCAGGCCTCGATGATGAACACACCGCTGGCCACGAACAAAGTGCAGCCCAAGACACTAAAGAATATATCGATGCGCTTGTGAATGGGTGCTCGCATCAGAACACCTGTAATTGAGAATATCAAAATTAAATTTATATTTAAAAATATATTCGGAAGAACAACAAAAGTAGTTTCAGAAAGTTAGTAGTCTAAAATAATATTATAAGAGAGTTTCAAGAAAATGTAAGGCATTTCTGAAACCTGAAGCATACCAAAACTTACCTGCGAATACCCCGATGACCACGATTATATAGCCCGTAAAGGTGCCAGTGGCCAGAAACGATGTCATTATATCGCGATCATTAAAGCTGTAGAAATGAAGCACAAGGCACGCTACCGCAAAACCCTATAAATTGATAGAGAAAATAGATTTTTAAAACCTGGTACTTGAAAGACATTTTTCTAGAGCTGTTTTAATTGTTATTTTGCGGGAGGTAATATAAGAGGATGTGAAATGTTTTTAAGGGGAAATAAACTTTAAATATAGTTTTTTTTTAGCTTTAGTTTTGAGTATTTCCTTGTAATTCCCAACTTGTTTTTTGAAAGAATATTTTTTTTAGCTGTGATTTAATGTTAATTAAATCAACTAAATTCAACACTTCGAGGGTATATTTTTAAACGTATTGTAGGGTTATGCAACACAATCTTCTATAGAGATTCACATGAAAAAAAAATTCGTTTACCAATTCCAGAAATTTGACCACATTGAGGCGGCCTTTTCGCTCGCCGTGAGACATTTTGTGAAACTGCTCCCGGTGACAATCCTCGAAAATGTGGTCCAGTTTGAAAATGTATTCTCCGTAATACGAGTTAATTTCGAATTATTCCGTTTGGCTTTTTTTGAACGTGCTCGCGACGACAGAGCACTGGATAAACTGATTCGAATGGATGCGGCTGGATGTCGGATGCCATGCAAATATGCTGATGCAGTCGGGCGCAGTCACAGCCACCGAAATTAATTAATTACACTTAGGAAATAGGCTTTTCATTTTTGTTCCCATCTCTGTTTATCTGTTTATCCGTTTGCTCGGGCCTCTCGGTTCTGTCTGTGAAGTGGACACCACCGTCTGGGTTTTCCGCTGTAAACTGCACTCGAGGCCCCATCCCTTACAACCTGATTGAGTGGAGCATAATGACTATATGCCATATAAACATGCATACATATATGGATGCTCGAATTTGGGTGGGTACACCCGCCCTACGGAATTATTGTGTTTGCATTACCATTACCATTACCATTACCCCAAATTCGCTGGCAGAAGGTTAGGCCCAAGATCGGAGCGATTTTGCGGAATTGGGGCCAGCGGGCTAGGTCGCTAATTTCCAGATGGCAACCAAGTGGATAATGGAAAACAGATCGTTTTGAAGAACAAATCATGAGGGGTAATCACTTCCCCAAATTATGATTAATGTGCGACTATTATTTTCAAGAGTTTTTAGAGGAATTTATGAAATATTGTTAGCTTTGGAAAGATTTAAGTTGTTACGAAATTAAGATCAATTGAAAAATTCAAATTTAATTTTCTAACTTAATATATTATTATGTCAATTTTGTTAAACATTTGTGGTTATAAAACTATAAGCTTTTATAAACGTTGTGTTATTGCAGCAACAGTGCAATATGTTTAAGAAAATGAAGTTAAATATTCCTATATCAGGTATTTAAATGACAGGTTAAACGTGTCTATGAAAAATTTCCATTATTTTCCAATTTTAAACGAAAGCTTTTTATGTGACTGCTAATATATTATCTAGCTTAGTTTTTTTTAGAGTAATAATATAGAGAGAATATAGTGTATTATTTAATTTTTTAATCCAGCAACTTATTGGGATTTTTGATAGTGTCTTATCAATTCAGTTCAGGCACCTTCTGATATGATTCAACAAATACAGATACACCTCACCGCTAATCTATACATAGAGCCCTTCTTATCGCTTCACATTTCCGATTAATCCATATTTTACTTTGTCAATAATGCTGAGAATTTTAATTTAATTTTTTTTAATTTTAAAATACATTTGTGATTTTGTTAAATAACTAGAACGAAATCTAATTAAGCTTGGTCAAGCTTTTTTGTCTTTGCAATTTGACGGTAATTACCGGCAATTTGTTTGCTTTTGTAGTTCCATTTAATGTTAATCGCCGGCACTTGACAGCGACGACAACAAAACGAGTTATAGTATGGCGTTGTGGAATGATGATCGAAAAATATACCCTCAACAGCGCAGTTCAGAATTAAACAAGTAATGCTTAATATTTTGCGATCCAAAATATTACTTGGGAATTATAAGCAAGACCCGAATTTCTTTAGCATTCTTTTAAATTCTAAGCCACAGAATTAACTAGATATCAAAAACAAAAATTCCTTGTTTTAGGTTTAATTTGCTAAAATAATAGAATTTCACTTTTTTTCAACGAAAAAATAAGAATTTTTGTTAATTTTAGCAAAGCATACTCCAGAAAGCGATTTTATGGCCAATGAAATCTATATACCCTACATTTAAGCAGCTAGGGTATCGACGGATTCTGTTTTGTAGCCGATTACAACCGATTTCAGTATAGAAGTGCACCTGCAAGTCTCAAAATGCTTAATCCCGAGCTAATTTCGTTGGAGAATCAAGTGTTCCGATGCTACCTGGGATGGTCGGCTATATTGGTGCTCAAGATCTTTGCCACAGGCATTTATACGGGTCTGATGCGCTTCATTACGGCCGTAAGTAATATGTTTAAGACTTTTGGACTCTATTATGCCGTATCTATATAATATATGTATACGTAAAACTTGGTTAAGATTCATGTCTCTACATATACAATTGCGATCAATCAAAAAGGTCTAGGGACTTTGTTGCCTCTTTTAATTTATTCTTGTTTAGTAAAATAGCCATTTCCAAATTCCGTAAAAATTTATTTTCTAAAGATTTTAACTGAGCTAACCATTTGAAATTGTCACTTAATTTATTCTTTGGGATACAAAAATAGAAACCAAGGGCTTGAGGATACCCCGAAATAAAGAAGAGAAATGCTTATACAGAAGTCACTTGATTGAATAAAATCGTCGTTTGTAAAATAAGCAATGCAAAAAACAAAATATAATTTTTCATCAAAAGATGCAAAAATAGTCTTTAAGGAATAATTATTTAAAGCTTTGTTTTTTTGACCTCTGCTGTGTCTCTCTCGCTCTCTCGATCGCACATACGCTGTCTCAGAATGACTCGACAGAATGGAAGAGAGAGCTTTTGCTTGCCGGTATAAAAAAATAAAGCGAATGGAAACTGTGCTCAATTGATTTTTAAGCGGCGTGCAAGCAGGCTGGAGATTCTGAAGACCTTAAGTTTATTTAGTAGAAAGTTAATAAATTAACAAAAAATCAATTAAAATGGCCAGCCCCGTGGAACTGCTCAGCCTCTCCAATCCCGTCTTCAAGAGTTTCACCTTTTGGGTCGGAGTTTTGGTTATCAAAATGCTGCTCATGAGTCTTTTGACCGCCGTCCAGCGTTTTAAGACCAAGGTGAGAGAGGGGGTGAAAACAAATAAATATAAACATAAAATAAAAAGGAATATGAATATGAATAAAATATATCACGAAAAACTTAAAAAAGCTCCAAAGAGTAAGTTGATATAAATCAAAATAGAGAATGAGTAGGGGTCGCACAGTGGGGTCAAAGTCCCACGACAGTGAAAGTTTAAACGGACCAAGTTAAATAAAGTAACTTATTCAACTAAAGTGAAAAAATATCAAATAAAAATACACTAAACAGTCAGCTTATAAAAAACAAAGGTTGGACAGTTGACAATATCACCTTATTTTATTCTAATATAGGCTATAACTTGTAAATTAATATAAATAGGAAAAATCTTGTTCGGTCGGTGATTAAAAAACTAAAAAAAACTAAATTTATTTATAAAATACTCTAACTGAATGTTAAATTCCATTGCTGGAGAAAAACTAGTTTCCCTTCTATTTCATGACATTTTAAAAATTAACAGGATAAAAAAAATTGTTTATTTGTTTATCTCTTAATATTTGATATTGGAATGCTTTCGGCTGAAACTAAAGAACTCATATCTCTAGATACAGATACATATTTCATTATTCGAACTACAAACTCCTGGGGCTGATCCCTTTTTTAGCAAAGCTATACATGTTATTATTGAGTTCTCAATATTAATTCTGGCTCTGTCTACATAAGTTGTTGGAAAATTCGAAAAAAATGTTAATCTTCGAATCGTTATCTTCGTTTTCAGACTTTCGCCAACCAGGAGGATCTGATGTCCCCCAAGCTGAAGGTCAAGTTCGACGATCCGAATGTGGAGCGTGTGCGTCGTGCCCATCGGAACGATCTGGAGAACATTCTGCCCTTCTTCGCCATTGGCCTTCTCTACGTTCTGACCAATCCGGCCGCCTTCCTGGCCATCAACCTGTTCCGGGCCGTGGGAATCGCCCGTATCGTCCACACAATCGTCTACGCCGTGGTCGTAGTGCCCCAGCCAGCCCGCGCCCTCGCCTTCTTCGTGGCCCTGGGCGCCACCGTCTACATGTCGCTGCAGGTCGTCCTCTCGGCCGCCTTCTAAGCACATAGATCTAGTCATTCATGTTTTTATTTTAACCATTTTTGAAATTATTTCTTAAATATATAAATATACACCTGCCTCGGCTACGGTGCTTTTGGATCACAGTTTGGTAGTGATTCTGTTCCTAACAAGTTGCAAATTAAGTCAGCTCTGGAAGGAAAAAACATACAATTTTTATATTTGAAGATGTTTCTTAATATTTTTTATTTATGTTTGTGGTTGTCACGCAAATTAAAGGTATATTCCTTATATTAGAAAGACAGCGGTTGAACTCCAATTCTCGAGCTCAAAGAAGAACCACCTAAATTGCATATTAGGGTGAGATAAAGTTGATCGCCAAGCTTTATTCAGTTATTGTTAAAAACAAATTGTGGTTTAAATAAAAATGGTTTTAGATTCACTGTCTGACAGTTTTAGAAGCATTAGTTGGCTGATTTTGTACTACAGTTTTGAGTATATATGCTTTTAGTTCTTCTGCTTTACAGTTTTAAGGAGACTGCATCTTGAATTACAGTTTTAATGGTACTTTTTGTTATCATCAAATTTTAAAATTTGAAAGCTTTTCTCTTTAAATATTTTGATAAGGTACAATGGTTTGAACTATTTTCGTTTCAATTATGCTTGCTTAAAAGTTGTTTTTTCGGGACTAAACTCAAAATAATGCTTTCCTAAAATATATATTTTTTTCGCTATAATAAATATTGACGGTAACTTATTTCAGAGAAAAATGCGTTTTAGGATGCATGTGATTGTTTTGAGAAATGAGAGCTGATCCCACTGTGCGCTGCCGCTAGCTCTGCCCACGTCGCTGTCGACCGTTACAGAAGGTTGGTTAGGCCTTTGTTGGATTTTGTTCAATTGCCGTTGTTGGCAGCATCGTGGCGGTCGATTCTCGCATTTCTCTCTCCGTTAGTTGTTCCTTGGTAACACCTTTAGCACTAGTAAGTAACTAAATCAAAGACTAGACTAAAACCAAAATTTTAAAACAGGCATTCTTTCGTCCTTATCCTTCTCCTGTCAAGTTTCATTCTTCATCTCACTCGCACTCTCTTTTTATGCTCTTGCAAAAAAAAAGTTCCCCAACCGGCAACAAACACAAAAACAAAGAAAAGGGAGAGAAAAAACATGTGCTTGTCTATTTTTATGTGTTGGGTTTTTTTTGTATTTGCTCGCTATTATTTGTTTTTTTTTTCTATTTTGGAGCCGCGTGCTTGTAAATTAAATATACAAATACATATGGAGGATTGCGCGTGTGTATGTGTACATTAGGGAGATAAACAAGAAAGAGCAATAAAAAGTCCTCTCTTGTATACTCTCCTTTTGCTCCCCAGAGTTTACACGTGAAAAAAAACTACCGACATTAAAAATAAAAGTACTTTTGAAATTAATATAAAATGTTATAATACTTCGGTTAAATCCAAAAATCGACCGGCAAAAATGCAAAAAAAATGTGTCATTTATAACTTTTTTAAACTGTTAAAATACGGGCTTGCCATTAAATTTAAAAAATGACATGTAGTTTTAAAAAAAAAATTAAGTAAATGTAATAAAACCTTAAGTTCAAATACTTTTTTTTGTATATTTAGGGTTATATTTTTTTCGTATAATTTATAAAAACATATTTTAATTAAGGTTAAAATTGTTTTTGGTAACTCTACCTATTCAAATTAATTGTTGAGGTTACTGATATAATTGCCCCTATTCGTCTAGATTCTGACCTACCCTATACAAGCTATAAAACTCAAGCGATACCCATAAAACGGGTTTTCAGATACCAACGCTTTTCATATAGTACACGAATATACTTTCCCTTATTTGAGTTTGCTCAGTGGGTGATAGAGTTCGAGTGGCGTGTCGAGTACAATCAATCACAGCCACCTGGAAACCTTATCATATCTATAAAATACAACCCAACTGGAACGGCAGGCAGTCCCTCTTATTTAGGGTTTCAAACCGTTAAGATAAATAATAAATTGGAAAATCCACACAAAAAAAAGATAGTTCAATATCCGACACAGTGTTGAAATTTCCACCGAACCTTGCTAATTGGCTCGCCAGTTGTGAACTTTCCCCATTTCTCTCGATAAGGAAAACCTTGAGATTTTTAATAATTAAAATAGCATGTCTCTGCCTTTCGTGTATACTAAACTAAGTGTTAAATATAGACATTTGGAATGATTATTGTGCAGTTTAAAAACAGTAGATAAGGTGTTACTTCCTGTTTTCTAAATGCCATTTCTGTTTTCTATCCTCTTGTGTCACGTCATCGTTTTTAAGGCTCGACCTTTTCGATTTCGATTGAATAATAATCTCCACACAATTTCGCAATTTACGCAATGAGACAACAAGAAATATATTTTGATTCGGCTTTCATTCACACTGAGGTGATAAGGTCTGGGGTCACCAGAGGTCAACAACAGCGCCATCTGGCATGTGTAAAATCAAATAAAATTTCCAACTGGTAGCCAAGCGCGATTATCAATTGCATAACTTGTTCTATAAAAATGAGCCAATATTCAATACACCACATCTTGGTTTATGGATAGATTTAAACCAGTTTTAAGTTTGATCTTTGTAGAGGGCTTTCATATATTTAATAGAATTTAATTTAATTTGTATTATCCCTTACAGAGATGCCACAGCCGAAGCCGTACGAAAGGCCCGCGGACTTCATCGATCCCGGAAAGCCGTCCAAGTGCAAATGGCATCTGGGAACCACCGAGAAGTCACCCCACACGCAGCGGGGCATCGCACACCGCCAGCAGATCACGCCGAACATCCTCGAGGTGATCGGATGCACTCCGCTGGTCAAATTGAATCACATTCCCGCCAGCGAGGGTATCGAATGCGATATGTGTAAGTGAATGAAACGTTGAAACTTTCTCAGTATATATATATATATATAGTCAATAGTTTACAAACCTAATTTAAAATAAATATATAGTCAAAAGTTTACAAACCTAATTTGAAATGTTGGGATCAATATTTTTCTATTTCACATCAACTTAAAGTCTATGATAACATTGATCTTTAAACCTTATTTAAGATCTTCTTTTATATCATTAATTCTTGTGATACTTAATAAAAACACTTATGTAAAAATTAAAAAAGGCTCATAAGATTTTAACTAAATTAAATGGTAAATATCATTGCCATTAAAATATAGTTAAGATTAAAATTAAAATTATTATGCTTAAAACTAACATAAGAGTTTAATCCTGCTTATAACTAACAGACAATTAATAAGGTATTGGTTCAATATTAAGTTACATATTTGATTTTCTTTTCTGTCATTAATTGTGACTCTTAATAAAAGCACTTGTGGAAAAATTAATAAAAGTCTCATAAGATCTTACCTGATTTAAATGGTAAATATCATTACCATTAAAATATAGTTAGGATAAAAAATTAAAATAATTAGAATAAAAATTGTTATATTTATAAGATCCGCCCTATGAATACATTCTAATTGACTGCTCCTCCTCTTAAAGATGCCAAGTGCGAGTTCCTTAATCCCGGCGGATCGGTGAAGGACCGCATCGGCTATCGCATGGTGCAGGATGCTGAGGAGCAGGGTCTCCTCAAGCCAGGATTCACGATCATCGAGCCGACGTCGGGCAACACGGGAATCGGACTGGCGATGGCCTGTGCCGTCAAGGGCTACAAGTGCATCATCGTGATGCCGGAGAAGATGTCCAACGAGAAGGTATCGGCGCTGCGCACGCTGGGGGCCAAGATCATCCGTACGCCCACGGAGGCGGCCTACGATTCGCCGGAGGGATTGATCTACGTGGCGCAGCAATTGCAGCGCGAGACGCCCAACTCGATTGTCCTCGACCAGTATCGAAATGCCGGCAATCCGTTGGCCCACTACGATGGCACAGCCGCCGAAATCCTTTGGCAGTTGGACAACCAGGTCGATATGGTTGTGGTGTCGGCAGGAACGGCAGGCACCATAAGTGGTATTGGCCGAAAGATCAAGGAACAGGCACCGCAGTGCAAAATTGTGGGCGTCGATCCCTATGGCTCGATCCTGGCCCGTCCCGCCGAGCTGAACAAGACCGATGTGCAATTCTACGAGGTGGAGGGCATCGGCTACGATTTCCCGCCCACCGTTTTCGATGCCGCCGTGGTGGATGTGTGGACGAAGATCGGCGATTCCGACTGTTTCCCCATGAGCAGACGCCTCAATGCGGAGGAGGGTCTGCTGTGCGGCGGTTCCAGCGGCGGAGCGATGCACGCTGCCCTCCAGCATGCCCGCCAGCTGAAGAAGGGTCAGCGCTGCGTGGTCATCCTGCCCGATGGCATACGCAACTACATGACCAAGTTCGTCTCGGACAACTGGATGGAGGCGCGTGGCTTCAAGGAGCCGGTCAACGAGCACGCCCACTGGTGGTGGAGTCTGACCATCGACCAGCTGCAGCTGCCAGCTCCTCCGGCGATCCTCAAGTCGGATGCAACGGTGGGCGAGGCCATTGGCCTGATGAAAAAGCATCGTGTCGATCAGCTGGCCGTTGTGGACCAGGATGATGGGTAGGCTGACCGAAATTCCTCTCCTTATCATGAAATCATCCATAACTTTCATCTTTTTCCTTATTCGCCCACTTAGTTGCATTCTGGGCGTGGTCGGCCAGGATACGCTGATCACCCAGATCGTGAGCATGAACCGCCAGCAGTCCGAACCCGCCATCAAGGCCATTAACAAGCGGGTGATCCGTTTGAACGAATCCGAGATCCTTGGCAAACTGGCCCGCATCCTCGAGGTGGATCCCAGCGTGCTCATTCTGGCCAAAAACACTGCCGGCAAGGAGGAGCTCAAGGCATTGGCCAGCAAGCTGGACGTTACCACCTTCATCGCCGCCGGCAAGCAGAGTCCCAAGGCCAATGGTGCCACCAACGGCAGCAGCCACTAGAGCGGCCAGTGTCAAACTCCCCATCTGTGTCATAGAAGTCCAAACACCTACCGATTATATATACCCGCATGCATTTTGCCTTATTCACAATAAAGCACTTAATATAATTCAAATTCTAACTAAAATTGGGATGGATTTGATGTCTTTTAAATATTAAATTAATATTTGCTTATTTATATATGTACTCTATGTTTGCTTCTTATCAAAGTCATGCAAAAAACAAAATGCCAAACACCAAAATACAATTATAAATTATGTTTATATGTCTTCATCTTTGAAAAAATATCCAAATACGTCTAATTTCTGATTTAGATTAGTTCACAAAAGACGATACTTCATGCAAGTCGCATTTTTCATATAATAAAGTCCGTGTGTTTAGTAATTTTTTTTGGACGATTTTGGTTTTTGAGCTGTTGATATATCGCAGAATGAAATGGAAACCAATTGTAAGTCAATTATCGGTAATATTTTACAACCAAAACCAGCTGCTAATACAAACGATGGATTGATAAGCCAAGCAAATTCAGTGGCTGTGGAAATTAATAAAAATTACAGAGCCAGTTGTCCATTTCGGAACTTTAATTTAAATCCACAGAAACCATTAACAACTTGCAAAGACAGCTGGCAGTTTCCGAGTGTCAAGATAAAATAAAAAAAAACATAATTGTAAAGGAAAAAGAAATACGTAAATAATGCAAAGACAATCTCATAAAATTAAAAGACGAGCAAATTAAGATTCAAGTGGAAGAGATTAAAAATAATAGTGAGAAAATAAAGACTATGGCAGAAACTATTAAAAACTTACAGAGTTCGCTAGTAAATACTGAATCACAAATTAAAATCAAGGATGAGGAAATTAATGACAAAACTGAAAATCATAAATCTACAAATGAAGAAATAAATAATAAATAAATCTTCGCGGAAATGATGATCAGGTGAATACGAACCTGATCTAAAATGATTGATTTATAAATCAACAAACTGAAAAGTGTATAGATGGTATTAATTATATATACGTAGAGTCCATTTGTTTGTAAAGTAACTTTAATTTTGTTAATTTAATATTTAAAAATTGTACAGTTCGGCAATATCAATATCACAAAACTATATTTTACTTTAATTGAAAATAGATTTTTCAAGATTTTATATTAAATCAACCGACCGTTAAAAACGCTATTTGATAGTCGTCAAATGTTTATAAATTAACCATTACAAATCATAAAAATGATGTAAATTATTAATTTTCCTTTCCATTTTTTTATGCCAGTTACATGGTTTTTATATTTGTATATACAATTTCAGAAATTGTTTCATTGAGTGTACGTCAAACAACTGCAAACTAAAATTAAAATTCCCTTTGCAAGGATATTTAAACTATTTACAAAAAAAAGGACAAATTCTGCTTGATAAATATTAAAAGAATTTTTAAATGCATCTTTATGGTTATAGTTTTTAAATCTTTAGCTAAAAATGTAATTAAAGTTCCTTCGATAAAAAACCCACATCACCAACAAATACGAATAACCACAAATTTCGACAATTTTTCACATTTATATATATATATATTTCGTTCGATTCGCTTACATGCTGTTTTCCTGTTTAAGGAGCTAACACGCATCTGGTACACTTGCAACATTTGTAAAAATATAAAAAAAAAACACACACACACACGTTTGTTGTGTGTGTGTGTCAGAGGCAAGTGTAAAACTAAATGCATGGAAAATCAGCAATTAATACTCGTGGAGCGAGAGAGATTACCAAGTGTTCGAGATAGAGAGAGAGGGAACTAATGTATAGAACACAGAATAGAGCGGAATGGTGAGTTGAGTTCGTCTTCAGACGCCGCGATTCGGCAGATCCTTCACCTTGTAGATGCGCACCAGCCAGTGTTCCGTGGTGTAGGCCTCCTCCAGGACATCCAGTTCGAAGTCCTTGTTGCCGATCTCGGCAGCCCGAACGCGATCGTAACCCTGCGCCTTGCCACCTTCCGTGTACATTTGGCCGAAGCGATAGTAGCACATCTTGTACATCAAACAGTTGAGCAAAGTGGGTGAACCCTCCTTGTCCACCCGGAATTCGCCATTGGCCGCATAGTAGTCCTTCTCGCGAATGTGCGCCCCGCGATCCGTACTGCCGCCAATGCGCACCATCCACAGGAATTTGTTGATATCGTCCGATGAGTAGCCAGTGAGTCCGCCGAATATCACAAGCACATAGTCCACATCCAATTCGCGCATTATCTCGTAGGCCTTCTCCTCCGACGAGGCCATCGCCTGGCCAACGCGCGATATATGCGTGTTATTCCAAGTGTTGTTGTCCACCAATATCGTACGATTTGCCATGGCGGTGATTTGATAGCCATAATCCCACCAGGACATAATGCGAGCATCCTGGAAAACATTTTGAGATTAGTTTTCGTTTGGCTACCTTTGGCAATTTGTAACAGAAGAATGATCTAGTGTTTTATCAGCTTGGTTGTTTTAGTACTCATTATGTTTCATACTCTTCCTATCAAGAATTTACAATGTAGTCATCATGAAAATTGGGGAAAAAAGATCCCGTGCCACCAGGCGTAAACGGGATGAAAAGGCTAACCAAACTGGAAACATACCTCCGGGGTGTTCATCTGCAGCCAGTAGTAGGCCTCGCGGAAGTCATCGAAGATGATGCGGCCGCCATCGTGCGACCGGGCACTCAGCACAATGCTGGGCGAGGAGTACGCCTCCGAGGTGACCCAGGTGCAGTGGAGCGTGTAGACGATCAGCATCAGTGTGATGACTCCCACAAATCCAATGGCCACCTCGCTCTTCACGCCGCCCGTCTGCTGTTCCAGCTTCTTGTGCTGCCGCTTGCTCTCCACGCCCTGCTTCGCCGATCCGCCCGCATCCACGCTCTTGATATACTTGGCCAGCAGATGCGATATGGCGATGCCCGATAGCACACACATTACGGGCGCCAGCACCAACATCAGACGGACCATCACACCGGCGAAATAAATACTGGTGACGCCATACAAAATAATGAAGATGTTCGAGTCGGTCAGCTTGGAGAAGCAGAAATACAGGCCGGCGGGAAAGAGAAACACCAGGATCTGCAAAAAAAAATATGTAAAAATCAGTACATTTATTTTAAATTATTGGTCTAAGTGAAAAAGGAGTTATGTTAATACTGCCTCAGCGATCAAAGTGCAAGGTAATCATTCAAATGCATTAAGGCGCAACTCATTCGCATCGTGGTTAAGTTTTCATCTTCGGCAGATACATATTTTTTACAACGATATAGTTAAAATATATATACAACCTATTTTTTTTACATTTAAGTCGTTCCTAACATTTTGTACTAAATTGATTTTAAAGGGTTTATATATAATATAATATGCATTTGGACTAATTGAACAACTTAAAATACTTTCTTTATATTTTAAAATTTTGTAAGAATGTAAAAAGGTAGTAATTTGTACAACTTTTTAAATACAGTTTTAGAGAAACTTATAAAATTCTCGAATATGTTTTCTTATAAAACTAACTTTTCCCCCAAACGAAACCCACCTGCAGATCAAAGTAGAAGGACGACCAGGATGTGGGCTGGTGCTCCGACACCGAGGCAATGATTGGAATGTGATTCTTGGCATAGGACGGATCCAGTAGCGAGTAAAATCTACCAGTCCAGGGCGAGACTTTGCCGGTAAGTGTGAGCAGGGTGCCCACAACAAACAGCACGGTCAACACACTGGACACCAGCGTTTTGAAGAGCAGATCGAAATGATCCTTGGGAATGCGAGAGCGCAGATAGTCCACAAAGGCGTGAATCTGGCACAACCCAAAGGTTCCCAATGCCTGAAAAAGATAAAAGCTATTAGTTGCAGTCTCTTTATTAATTTTAATAAGTAAACATTTAAATTAAATGATGATGAGTGATCAAATCAGCTTGTTTTTTTCGTACTCATTATGTTTCATACTCTTCCTATCAAGAATATATTAAGTATTCATCATAGCAGATCACTAATCTTCTATATTTCAAGTATTAGGCATAAGTGAATCCTTACCAGCATGTGCTCTGAACTCTGGATAGGCTGGAAGCCCACAAAAGAGATCTGCATGGACAGAATGGTGCCCACACAGTAGAGCGTACTGTAGGCTATGTAAATCCTGTGTGAGAACCGTCCGGTGATCATCAGGGCCAGCACGTGCAGCGGGATCAAGTTGATCAGAAAGACATAGCCTCCCCACGACGAAACCATATAAAAGTAGGCCAAAGCGGACATGGCCGACCAGAAAATCGTGCCTGTCTTCACGGCCTTGATCCACAAATAGTAGGTGAACAGCATGCAGAAGATGGCGATGCCCTCATTGTCGTAGGATCCGGCCACAGATCGGGAGATATATCCCGGAACGATGGAGATCAAAGCGGCGGCCACCAGACCAGCACCAGTGCTCTAAAAGTAAAGGAGGGCAACATTAAAACCACGTGTGCGACGAAATCTCTAAGTACTGAACTTATTAAATATTGGGTACTATTATTATTTATAAAATATATCATTTCCTGAGCTTGCTTAACTTGAAATATATGTAAAAAAAAATGATGTCTCGTGTATAGAATATTAAAAAAAGGCAAAAATACATTTCATGGGTTTTTGAATTTCTTTGTAAGATATTAGAACTGCTTTTTGCACCTATGTTAAGCGAGAATTTCTTGAAATGAAAGTATATTTATTATTTATTTATTTATTTTTGAAAATTTACATCGAAATACATTTTTCTGATACATTTTAGGGTTTTAGCCGAACTACGACTTCGTTATAAAGTGGAATTTGAGGATTTAATGAAAATTTATAGGTAATTAGTATTGTTATTAGGTTTAGGATGGGTTATTATACAGGCATTTAGGTGTTTTCCCCATAAATGCCTAATTTAAATGCCCAAATCTATGCAAGTAATAGGGTCTTTGATCCCATGGTGACTTACGTGGATCTCCTTCGTGAGGGCGTAGGTCACCAGCGTGGTCAGCGAGGAGAAAAAGGGCGCCAGGAAGACGCACACGTTTCGGATGTCGATGGTCACGTTGAGCAGCCACATGAGGCGGTATAGGGCCGCCGAGGTTAGCATTAGTCCGGGATAAATGGTGCCGCCGATGATGCGGCCCAAAGGATACCAGGCGCGGTCATCGAACCAGTTGTGGAACTTGTAGAATCCTTGCTCCGCCAGGAACCGCGTGGTGCGGTAGTTGAAGTACGGGTCGAACTCATGGATAACGCTCTCGAATCGCAGCACGGAGAACAAGCGTGTGGCGAATGCTGATCAATGCACGTTCAAATAAAAAGAGGAAAAGGAAGTCAATTTGCCGGAGTGGAAGAGGAAGACGAGCAGCTGGTGGTGGGACTGGCACGAATATCGGCTCGAGCTATCGATATTTTCCATGGTGGCGAAACATGGTCTATATATTCAAAATAACGTATTTTTTTTTTATTGAATGGCTTTCGTCTCGAACTTGATTCATTTGTTGATTGTTAATTCTTTCTTGAATGAACCAAAACTTGTGAATATGTAAAGTCATTTCTTACAATTTCCAAAATGTTTACTCTAAAAATAACGAAATCAATGTCGAAGTTTATTTAAAACCTATTCAGGCATCATATGTAATAACAAGAGATAAAAGAGCAAAAACTATAAGTATTCTAGATTATTAACAACTAAAATAAATTATTAACCATATGGTATCAAAACTCCCATCTCTGAGAATTATCATAGACAATCTGGCATCCCTAGGCGATAGCAATGCACCGCTGCCAACTATCGATCAATCGATAGCAAGCAAGCTCCAAGTTGATGCGAATGTTTGATTTTTTTTTCCAGTACGCCCACTCGAATACGCCAAAAATTTGCCCAATTTACTCACACAGAACCGCTGCCAGAATGAGAATAGCCAGTTTGACCAGGTGCTCCTGCTTTTCCCAGGTGAGCAGTCCCCGGGCGACTCCGCCCACGTCCAGCGTCATTTTTTGTCCCTCTTTCGCCTGCCGGCGTTTTTCAGCGTTGTTTATTTCGGTTTAAAAGTTGCAAAATCACCGGTACATGGGGTTTTCTGAATTCAAGGTGTCCAAGATGACTTAGGCCGCACTACAGGATCGACTATTATTGATGTTTTCGCACAAAATGAAAGCTAAAACTTGAAAGCGACGGAATTGCAAACTTGCAATTCGTGGCAAAGAGCGAAGAGTGATATCGTTATCGCGGGCTGTCGTCTGGCTATCGACAGCGGGGGTGACAACTCTGCCAGCTGAGCGCTTTTTATTATTGCCCTTTTAATCGCGGTTTCTTTTCTGCACCGTCTTTGTGGTCGCTTCGAATGTTAATTCTTGATTTATGGTTAGTTACTATTAGTGAGTCACTTAAAAGCATAGCTGGTATTTAAATCGGTAACTTATAACCGGCTGTTCCTGCGCTCATTTGCCAGCTGTTTTTGGCTCTCGGGGAGCGCGAGAGAGGACTGCTGTGCTCTCGCGAGAGCGCGATTACCGTTTGTATTGCCATATTTTTCCATTTCCCATATAAAAGCACCGCTGCTTCGTGTTTTCGTTGCGTTTTAAAAAAAATCTCGCACAAAATATGACAAGAAAACATCGGATAAATCGCCGGGCAGAAAAATCACGGTTTCCAGTGAAAAACTACTGATATTAATCAGAATTTCGAATATATATATGTATTTTGGTCTAAAGAAAAAGAGCTGTCCCCCGAAAAATCGCAAAGCGGAGTGAATACAAGTTGACTTCTGCTGGTAAATAGAAAAAAACGTACCTTAAACAATCAAAAACAAAAAGAAAAATACAACCCAAGCTCACGTGTTAAATATTTAACAACAAATTGTTCTTACCATCACACGGGGTCCCCTATTTGCGTGTGTTTGTGTCTGATTTGCTGGTTAAATTTTTTTTGGAGTGGCAGCTTTGTTATGTGCAATATACAAATATATGTTTGTGTATATATGTATACATATATATATACTGGCGGCGTTGTTGTTAGTTTTTTTTTACTTGAAGTCGCGCCAAAAGTAATTAAATAATAACCATTGCGAGTGTGTACTTTTGTGTGTAATATGCAGCCAGAATGGTGAAAAATCGAACATCAACACGGTTTTAAAAATGCATGTGTTATGTATATGTATATATCGGGACGTATGTAAGTGTGTGCGTGCGGGTGGTGGCAGCGACGCCGACGGCGACGTCGGCAGAGGGCAGCGATTGCAGTTGCCAGCACGCATCGAAGAAGAAGAAGAAGTATAAGAATACAGTGTGGGGAGGGGGGTGGTGTAAGAAAAGGAAATCAAACTCCAACTTCTTCTACTTTGCCCCCCAGACTCGTACACACCCACCCCACCCACACTCGGTGTGTGTGTGGGTGTTTTTGTGTTTGCATCTGCATGGCATTTCTAGCATGCAACTCTCTCGCGTGCTTGTGTGCGTGTGTATTTATGGAAGTTTGTGTGCCTAGACGGACGAAAGAGAGGGAAGATGGGGGCCACATATTTATTGTAATACAAGTTTCCAAAAAGTATTACAAAATTGGCAACACTTTAATATAAACACTACCAATTCGAAAAAAATATCAGATAGGATCAGGAAAATCAAATTACATATTAACAAAAATATTTACGATTTTAAAATAATAATTTAATAAGTAAAAAATAATAGGAATTGTTGATTCAGTACTTCTTAAAATACATGTTTTAAAATAAAATGAAACACATTTAACCTGCGTTAGTCATAAGTAAAAGTTCAAAAATAGGAATAAGAATGGTATGATATGAAAATCAAAATACAATTTTTATAGTAGCAAAGTTCGAATTTAGAGGTTTTTAGAAGCAACAAAATTGAAAAGAAACACAAACAATAAAGTGCTCTGTGAAATATTATATGTTTATTTCAAAAAATTGGAAAACTAGCAAATTCATTTAAAAATCCAAACAAACGTAAAGGTCGCCATTATTTCCACACACTATCTTATCCATAAAGTTGGATAACTGCCTTCCACTTGATTTTGCATCTTTAAAAGTAAAAGTAGTAGATAAGATAAGCCGCCTTTTGTTTAAAAAACGGAACTCTATTAGCTAAATGGAAATTTGTTCTTATCAGTTGTCCGTCTCTAAATGAATATTGTACTTCAGAAGTTCATAATTGTTTGTCATAATTGAAAATTTCCTATCATTAAGAGTTATAAACGCTGCCGAAAATTGACAGTAGTTCATCAGTCCGGTAATCCATCAATTTTCTATCAATGTATTTTTATGACGGCCATTTCCCAATCCATTTACATAGCCAATGAGTGATTAAGTGAGTTTTTTTTTGTATTTCTGCTTTCGCTCGAAAATAATTTAAGAAATTTGCTTTTGTTTTGCACGTTTTTGACCATAAAAACGATGTAAAATTTAATATGGCATATAGGGCGAAACAATGTTGCCGCTGACTCGTTATTGTTATTATTATTATTATTTTTGTTTACACGTGGGAAACGGAAATTGGCGAGAGAAAAACAGAAACAAAAAGTTGCCGCCGTTTCACATTCACTCTCCATTCTCCACTTGCCTTACCAAAGTTGTAAAAAAGTTACAAATCAAATAACAAAGGGAAACACTCGAGGTCCCCCTTAAGAAATGCTGCCAGCGTTGCTTTTTTTTCACTTAATTTCATGTAATTAAACCTTTACAACGCTTACGACTCGAATGTCTGATCTTTCGTTGTTCTCTTCTTTTTTTTTTTTATTTTCCCCTTTATCGACGGTTTCATTTCCAATTGTTGCCATACAAGTTTCGCTTCCAATTGGATTACGACCATAATTTGTCTGCGGGCCAAATACCAATTAGAATCGGGCAAGATATGGAACTCTGCGGGTCGCATATATAGGTTCCTATCGATATTAGAATACCCTGTAATAAGCGGGTTCTTATTAGAAACGCTCAATGATTTGAATGCATGGAAAGCGTTTTACTTATAATGTAATAATGCATTTTCCAATCGCTTTTTTATCGAATCAGTTCATTTTTGTAAAATAAAACAATCAGTGGATTTTGTATGGTTGTAGAATCGTTTTAAACAGAGATATACTGAAAAAAAACATATATTTCAGAAATTCTTAAACCGAAAAAAAATCGGTTTTGAATCGGAACTTTCACTGCAGCATGATTGAATCGATTTGTAGGAAACCAATCGAACGAAACGAACACAAATCGCTTATATGTTATAGCAATATGCGATATCTCATTAGTTGCCCCCCACGTCGATTTTAAGTTGATTGCGACTGAGCAAACATCAATTGCTGGACAAAGGCAATCGATTACTTCAATACGGAATTACCATGAACAAAAAAGTGGATAGAAAAACATCGGGGGAAACGAAGAGATGGTTACCGAATTGCCCATTAACCCCCCACTTTTTCCAATAGTGTCACTGGCCATTGACATGCCATCCAAGCCATCCAAGCCATCCAAGCCATCCAAGCCATCTAAGCCCAGTCCATTCAACCCGCCCTTTTCACCTATTTACACCCAACGACTTTTCCCTTTCTTCTGGCAATTATCAGCGAACGCTCGACCACAACTTATTGGCATTTTCGCATTAAAAGTTTCCCAGTCTTCTTTTCTACTTTTCCGGGTTTCCCTTTGTTCTGCTAACAACATTTTTTGTAAGTGTTGAAAAAAAAAATAAATGCGTGGTCGCTTAAATTGTGTTTGTGTTTTGTATGGCTACAAATGATCTCATTTTTGAGTAAAATCAAAACATTTGTGAGCATTGTTAAAGGGTTTTAAAATTAAAATATAATTTTTGAATATTCACACATTAATAAAAAAACACTACAATTTTTAAGAGAGTATTTGATAGTTGGTTAAACTTTCATTCTTAATACTTTTTTTTTGTGGTCTAGTTGTACTACACATTTTTTTTATGTTTTACTTCTTCACTTTTCGCCGCGATATTAAATCTTATTTTTTTCTAGTTTTTTTTTTTTGCCTGCCTTCGTTCGCGTTGTACTCATTTTTTTTGGCTTTGGACTTTAATTTCTGGTCTTTTAAGCCAAGTCGCGCTTAGTTGTATTTGCATGAGTTTTTTCATTTGGTTTGGTTTTGGTTTATCGTGTTGTGTGTGTTTTTTTCAAGGCAAGAAACCGATGACTTCATCTTCTCTGCCCACATTTTTGTTGTTGCCTCACAGTGTGTGTGCGTGCGTTGGTGTGGGTATACCCTTTATAGAGAGTATTTATAGTTTTTGGATTTTGCCACGCTTCAGAGAAAGCATTTACGACCTTTTAAACCAAATTAACCAACCCATTATTGGTGGTAATAGTTACCAATTACTATTTACGCTTAATGTTTTATAAAAAAAGTTCAAAAGAAATACATTTTGTATTTTCTCTCCGCAACCAATTTAGATATGTTATAGATTCAACTATGTTAATAAATTTAAAAATAAAATGTTTGAGAAGAATTTTTAAAAGACTTAAATGTTTTTAAAATAGTTAAACAAAACTATTTGTCAAAATATGTGTTATGTTTTTAAGCCTGCGATATTTGATTAACATATGAATCGACGGTAAAACTAGTTTTAGTTAGAATAACATGTTTACTTCTTGAGCTGATTTTACCAAATCGTCTAATGATATTAGCACCTTACACAATTTCATTTGAATTTATAGGAAACAAACTTTGTTAACAGGGATTTAAGGAAACAGTTTTTGGAATAGTACTTGTACATTTGTGAATCATGTTTATTTCTTAAGGTGATTTTAGATACCTTCAAATACTTTTACACTTGTATTAGTTTCTGACCTTGTTATAGTTAAGATTTTAGAGAACAGTTTTGAAATATTATGGCTTACGGTGGGAGTTATAGTTTATAATATTGATGATTGTGGTTTCGAGGGTATTCACATTCTCGGTAAACAAAGTTGATTTGCATTGCTTTGTTTTGTTGGACACCCCCAAGCAGTGATGATAATGATGAGGAAGCGTTGGCCTTGTTTGTTTTTGTGGCTGATGTGTGTCACTTGCCACTTGCCACAATCATCATCATTATCTTTATCAACCACACGCCGAAGACATTGTTGCAGTGCAGACAATATGCAAAGTGTTGAGTAATAGTCAACACAGTCGACATCACTTGTGCATCATGATCATTATCATCATCAGCAGACTGTCTGTCAACGGTTGGCTGACCGCTTTCAATAACCACACTGAGACAAATTCTTATAGAAATATGTTTTCTTGGTGCATTTCTGGCACACAAACTTTATTAATCATATAATTTATTATTTTTTTCAAATTCATTAGCATTGCTTATATCCAGCTTAAGGACTAATATGTTTTTGTAGAATGTTTGTCATGAGGAATACGAAAACAATGTAAATAAACCGGCAAGGTGCAAGGTCACATTATTTCCGGTTGGTGGCATGGTCCCACTGTTTTTCTTACACATGTGCAAAATATCTTATTGGTCTGTTATGTTGCATACATTGTACGGCATATCATATATTGTTTCTCTCTGTGCAGTCGGGGACCACAAACTTTGCGACATCAAATTGATTATTTCGATGCCCTTCCATGTCGGTCTTTTGGCCTCCGTTCCACTATTTTCTCTCTTTTCCTTCCACGCTATCTTTCATACCCGTTGGCTTTGTTTTATTATTTATGTCCAGGCCGGAAATGTTTCGTTTTCCAGTCGCACTCTCACCAGAGCAACCCCAACACTATAAAATATACAAAGACCGCAGACCATATAGACCATACCCTCACCCACTTTTGGCCACTTTCCCAGTGTTTTATTGTTTTTTGTTGCCGTTCTCTATTGGGGTCAGCAAACAAAACTCGCACCCGTTGTTGTTTGCTTTGTTCTACATGTGTATATACCCTCTGGAGAGTTTTTGACCAAGTTTTGTTGGCCTGGTCGAGTCGGGAACAGGTTGTGCGGATCTCTATCGCACAACAAAATTGCAGTTAGTCTTTGGTTCCTTGAATTTCTGTGGATTTTCGTATGATTTATTTCGGATTACCATGATTTTGTGTAGATTTTCGTATGATATATGTATTTTGGGATTTCCGTGAATTTTTGGTTGCGTTGATCTGCAGATACAAACTGGTGGAGGTCAGTGGAGTGCTGAAGACTGTCCGAGGGGTAGTAAATTTCCTATATACAACCAAAACATACCATGCTTAGTAAACACATTTCAATATCCAACATTTGTCGTATCACTTATAAGTCACACATTTCCTTTTAATCTGCTGACTAACTCTTTAATCAGTTGTATATTTTGCATTCAACTGGGGAAATGTAATACTATAATAATAATCGGATATCAAGGGAGCAAAGTTAATAATATTCAGTTTAGTTCGAGTGATAAATGGTTTTTATGAGTAGATTACACTTTAATTAAAAACGATTTGATGGTATGGTAAATTAAATATTCTTATTAATTCTTAACCAATCGGAGCAGTCAGCGGCTTTAATACTTCGATCTCTGAGAATAAGGGCATTCGCTAGCACCTGCAAAGGTTCCCAAAGGGGTTTTTGACTGACTTGCAATATCGATTTACAATTTATTAATGATTTACGCAAACTAATTGCCTCCGATTTTGTTGCGTATCATTGTTGCAATGTGATTTTTTTTATTTTTTTTCCCAGCCACTTATTAATTTATTTTTGATGGAAAAAAGCAGTTATTAATTGTCTACAAATGGCTTACTCGTATTTTATTGCATTTTTTTTTGCAGCAGCTGCCTAAACGATGCAACAATGTGACAGGCGGCAGCAGCAGCAGCAGCAGCAACAGTGCCAGGAGCAACATCAGCGAGAAATCCAGCGGCAGCCACATAAATTACAGAAGTAATAGCAATAGTCCAAGCATTGTTTTTTTAACAATTTTTAGGAAAAGAACAAATGTATCAACGACAGGAACAACGGCAGATTAACTAGCAGCTAAAGTCACAATCTAAACAGTTTAAACTATAATAATTGATTTAAATTTAATATTGTATTAACGAGGACATCAACCGTTGGCAACTCTCTAGCCGAGACACTAACCGCTCAGCACAAAAATTTCGAATAGGGCAGCAGCAATAACGAAACCACCAGAAAAAAAGATGGCAAACATCGAGTAAACCATAATAGTAGTAGTTATTAGTAAAAGATAGAAATCCGAAAATATTTTAAGTGCAAATAACGAGAAACAAGTGTTTTTCGACTGAGAGGAGACAACAACCAAGCGGCTAAGCCAGCGGATACACCAACCCTTTGGAGAAGCTTGTGATTGTAAAGAAGTGTCTCCAAAAACAAGCTTACAGATCAGGCTGAGGAGAGCGACAGACTGATACGAAGGTAGCTAAGGGGAGAGCAGGATCAGTAGGATTAGCAGGATTAGCAAGATTAGCAGGATCAGGATTGAAATGCCAAGCACGACGGGCAGTGCAGCAGGCGTTGGAATGGGAGCTTTGATCAATAGTGCCGGCAGTAGCGCCAGCAGTGTCATGGGCATTGGACTGGGCGGAGCAGCCGCAGCAGGAACTGGAGCTGGAGCTGGAGCAGAGGCCTCAGCCGGCACCTTAATCGCACAGAGCACGGCGGGAACAAGCGCCGCCAGCAGCGGTACCATCACTTGGGACAACAATGGCACCCTGCGATCGATCAATCCCGGCGACTGGTCCATCGAACAGTGCCTCGGTTGGCAGCAGCCGCATCACCTGTACTTTCAGCTCGGCTGGGCCTTTCTCTTCCTGGCCTTCCTGGCGCCCCATGGTCCCTACGGATCGCTGTGGATGCGGGCCATGCTGCTCATTGGCTGCCTGATGATGGGCATGCACGGCTACCTGGTCGCCTGCACGCCGGATGTGGTCCTATGGTCGGGCATGGGCCTCTTTGTCAACTTCGTCTATCTCGTCGTGGTGCTGTGTCGGCTGAGACCCGTGAGATTTGAGCAAGAAATCGAGGCGGTAAGTCGTACATCAATATTCTATCCATATAAGTATCTTAGTACATTTGCCTAATACATGAAGTAAAAGTTTTTCAAGTCTAAGAAGTAGAGTTCTAGAAGAACTCTAAAAATAAGTATATTTTTTTAGCTTTGGCATTTCTATTATTAATGGGAAATATCAAACGTATTTTTTAGTGGTAAAATATTGTAATTATTTTTGAAAAAAATTTGTTTTACTGAAATGAATTGCTTGTAATTTTTAAAAATGTTTGTTGCTTAACAACTAAAATACAATAAAAGCCGTAATAACTATTAACTTTGAAAAATCTTTTAACCTATTTCTTAAATCGCATTTATTCGATTTTGAATACAGCTATCTATGAACAGGTTCACATTTTAATGTAAGGAAAAAAAAGCAAGATAATAGAATACTTTCTATACATAATGAAATATTTAAATTGTTTTTTTAATTGAACTAAAAATAAAGAAACAGGCATACCCAATTTAAGAAAGTTAAAAAATGTAAATTAGTAATTCATTTCAAAGGCCATTTACCCCAATTAAATAAATTAGCCGAAAATTAGGCAACGCAATCAATATCACTACTCAAGTGAATTGATTTTCTGACAACAAAAATACCCTCACTTTTTATGGAATCACCAATTAAGTTGTAGACCGACAAGAAAAACAATCATTTAAATTGTACACATTTAAATATTCAATTTTATTGATTTAATTTGTTTTTTTTTATTATTGTGTTTAATTTTTGATTTTTTTTGTTTTTTGTTTTGCTTTCATTTGTTTTTTTTTTGTTGTTGTTGTTTGTTTTTATATAAATTATATTCACTAAAACTTCCGCACTTAAAACAGAGAAAAACATAGTTTCCAATGGATTAACAAATAACAGAAGAAAATTAATGAATTTGCGTGCTGTCGCTCGAAAAAAATAGTATAATTAATTATCAATAGGCTATTATTTAATAATTCTGTGTAATTTATTGGCTATCGACTATGGGCTAAATGTGCTATGGTTCGCGAGTGGTGGGTGTGTGGGGAGTGGGAGTTGGGCTGAGCTTATCACAGGAAATCAGATTGCAAGGACGCAGAAAAGGAGGCGTCCTCGGGAGAAATTAAATATTTTTTTGTGCAGGTGTGTGTGTGTGTATGTGTGTGTTGTGGGGGCGGAGGAAGGGCATTCAAAAGTCTGATGTGAACGGATGCAGGGGCTACCGCTTCACCGTTTACAACCAGCTCGTTAGATCAATGGTTCAATAAGCAATATAAATTTGAGACAATTTATCGAACATTGAAATACAGTGTGTGGGTGTGTGTGCGTGTGTGTTTTTATGGTAATGATGTTGAGCCTAAATCTATAAATTCTTCACTCCGGATATGCCTTAGCTGAGGCGTATTTTCGATGCCAGAAAATACAGCTGCAGGCAGGTGGTCAGCATGACCGTCATGTTGCCAATGGCGATGGTCATGTGGATGCGCCGGAATCCCTTGTGGATGCGCTGATAGTGCGGACAGTCGACGAGATCGCCCTGGACAAGGCTGCCCACCTCCTGGCCACTGCCGATCGCATCCTCGATCCTGTACTTCTCGTGCATCAGTTGCAGCATCGGTGGCACCAGATATAGACGCACCACCACCTCGATTCCCGCCGCCAGGGCCAGTGATCCCATCTGAATGCCCGCCGCTGTCGTCCAGCCGGTGAGGAAATACTTGGCATACACCACCAGCATCGTCAGACTGAGCATGGCATTGAGGGCGAAGTAGCGCGGGAACAGGATCTGCTGGCACTGCCCGAAAACGTGGCGGGGCAGGGAGAAATACAGCGAGAGACCTGCAAGGATATGGCCAAAAAGACAGGATACATTAGTACTTCGATTCATACCCGATTTCAAGGGGCTCTACAAAATGTAATTACGATTTCTGTATGGCTGACCTAAATGAATCGAGCGATGTGTCGTTCAATTGAATGCAATTGCTCATTTTGGTTTGATTTGGTTTATTTGTTGACTGAAGATACACGTGAATTGTGGATGATCGTAGCATTATCTTGAAGTCTCGAGTGTTGAATTTGCTTTCCTCTCGACGGTTTATACTAATAGTTATTGGAGGTCGTTCCAGTTGTTAGGCTCTGATTTTTAATTGTTGATTTATAAAATTAACTAGCAAAGTTCACATAAATATTTTCCTGAATGATGATTTTTGTTGTAAAGCTACTGGTTCCTCCAAAGCTTGATGACGGATGACGTATGCGCAGGGGATGTTCAACAATGTTCAGGATAGTCCTGCGACTTAAGGACACTTACCCGAGACAAATGTCATCCAGATCTGCGACCCAAAATGGGTGGCAAAGGCGCCCAGGAAAACCAGAGCTGCCAAAACGCCGCCCGTTGCTGTTCTCGTTGATGTTGCTGTTGCAGATGTTGCTGCGCTTTCTGTTGCTGCTGCTGCTGCTGCATCTACTGATGTCGTTGGGTCGATGAGGTCGCGTCCCACAGTCATCAGCACAAAGGCCAATATGCAAACGGCTATCAAGTGTGCTGGCTGTGTTGTACGCGTCAGAATTCTGTAATAAAATAGCAAAGTGTTCGATTAGTAAATGGCAATCGACGATAAAAGATGGCTGAGAAGATATGAATGTTGATAATGGGACCTTGAAAACCAAATTATAATTTATTTTTAAAACTACAAATTATTAAGATATCAATTAATTCGAACATCGATAGTTTGTTGTGTTTCGACAAGTATTTTATTTATCAACCAAGGAATCATCTATTATGGTTTTTATATGAAATAAATTAAATGTGATTTTTATATAAAGTTCATCACTGTAAAATCATTAAACATTTTTTTTAATTTACTTAAAGAAAAAATATTCTAAAAACCAATTGAGCTCATCTTGACCCATTAAAGTTATAAACCTTATTTCAGTATCAATATACTACAATTTCTGCTTTTTGGGTTGAAGTGCTGTCGCAACGATTTCCGTAATATGCAGCAATAGATTTATATTTGCAATTGGTACGCAATCGCCAATGGTCCAAATTCCGAAAAGATATAGCCGCCCGATCCGCGGGCAACGGGCGTATTGTATGGTATATGGGAATTACGTACCCACGTGGCCCTCATGTCTGATTAGATTTGATTTGCGGCGAACATTTGCACCGATTGCGATCGTGCGAATTCGCCGCCCACCGATTGCTGTCTCCCTCTCTCTTTCTCTTTCTCTAGCTCTGTCTCTGTCTTTTCTTGTCTACGCATTTGTTGCGTCTCCCTCCACCTCCCATCTTTTTCGTCTGCCATTTTTTGCATATCCGTCTGTTACGTTTTTTTTTTAAATGTTTTTTTTGCACTCTTTCGCCGCTCACGTTTTTTTTTTTTTTTTTTGTACGGCGAATAGAGCCAAAGTGGCGTACGTGCGAAAACGCATGCAACCGAATATTATATATTTTCGCCGCCCCCCACTATCCCCCTCTCTGTTGCTCTCGTAGAGACCAGAACTAAAGTAAAAAATTGGCAATCTCTAGGCGGTTTACATAACATAAGGCGTGGAAAATGCAATTTTACACTTGCACTTGGAGCGAATTCGGGCGAATCAGCTGGCGACCAGCTGACACGATAAAAAGCGTCGAAGCCAGCTGATCTATGGACAAAAGAGAGAGAGAAAGGAGGTACAGTTGCGTTCAAAATAGTTTAGAAACAAAAACAAATATTTTTTAGTTTTAATATAAAAAACAATTATTAACAATATTTAGCAAGAGACACAAAATAATATAATTAATATTAAAGTTCGAGAATAGCAAAAATTTATGATATTAATAAAATAAAGTTGAGCAATTTTTTTTTTTAAATAAAAAATTGATTTTTAATTTTGATGTAAAATTTAAATACGAAAATATTTTATTCATATTATTAAATCAATATATTGAATTTTTTAAAAATAAACTTTAGTTAGTTTTAGTAATTATAATTGTTAATTTATTGTTTTAAAATTTATATTTTTAAATAGTAATAAAGTTGTTTTGAAGTGAATTCTTAAAATGACTTGAAATATATTTTAAAATGATTGTATTCTACTATTGTGACCGCCACTGTACGCTGTACGAAAGCTCTCCCAAATGACGTAGGACCCGATCGCACTTTGCACTCCAGCAGGTAGTTGCGGATCGGTCGGGTGATTCAGGGGGGTCTTAGGGAACTCTATTGACTTGGCAATTGTCGTCATAGCGCCGCGCCGATCGCAAGATAGCGAACGAGCCCAGACACACCCCCCCGCACCGCCCGAGGGTTAACTTATCACTTGACATTGAGTCAGCATTACGGTCAAGGCGAATATCACTTGTTCGTATTTTTAGATTCGCACACTTCTCGTTGGTAATGCTGCCCTAGTGGCCCAAATAGTCGGGGTTTTGGTTGGGTTAGGTTATGGGGTTGTACTATGGACTCATAGGTTGGGGTTTCACTGTACCGATCGATATCGTGCAGGTCACGAGTTCTGAGTTTGGCGTCTGCTGCCAGGCATTATCAATGAGGTGCTAATAATCATATGATAGCGGGCCGTTAATTTCGCTATTTGGCCAACGAATTGCAAAAGCCAGTCAACAAATTTTGGCTTAAATGGGCATTGTGTTAGAAATCAATCATAACTGAATTGGTGTTCTCTTTTAATGAACTCAAATAAATGGTTGGACATTAGGTGAAGAACTTAAGACCTTTAATAAAGGTTCTTTCAACTAGTCTTATAATAGAGCAATGTCTTGAGTCCGCTGTTTGCATAACGGTTTTGCGCCCTAGACAACAGGAACACATGGCATGGCAGACGGTGGAAAAATTGTACGACTATATTTGCATCTATAAATATCAATACAGAGGCGGCGTGATCAGCATGATCCACAGTCGTGACAATGAACTGATAATGATAAGACAGTGATAATGCCACCTGCAACGAGAGGGTTTCCCTTATGTCACCTGATGAATTGATGGCTATTTAATAAAGGGGGCGTGTGTTCGGGCTATATCAATATGTATAGTTAAGCAACAGTGTTATTTGCAAATTTTCAATTACATTTTTGCATGCTTTTAAATACACATATCACAATTACTTCACTGGCCAAATTTAGAAATATAATTAGTTTGTGCTAAAAATATTGAACACTAGCCAAACTTAATTGGTTTTGCCACTTTGTTGTCAAACAAATAATGGAATACCTCAGCGTTTCCTGTCATTTAATTTTATGCAAGTACGGCGTGTGTAGAAATAGCACTAAATGTCATAAATTACTGGCCTTATTGGACGAAAATCTAGCAATTACAAATTTTGTATACAGAATTTTTATTGAAATATTTTTATATAGAGTATATCTTTTTTGAAAACGGAAATATTTGGTTAGTGACTCTAGGGAATATTATTATTTTATTTTTAGAAGAAGGAAAACTGAGAGATAATTGCACAATTTAATTAAATAAAACTAATTAATTTCAAATAAACTTAATGTTTTTAGGCTTGTCAAGCGTTGAATACCAATAAACGGGATGTTTGGAAAGTGCTTTTGATTGATGAAAATAATTTGGTGGAGGGAAACTCACGTGTATAAGCGACTGGCCTGCAGCTGGGCCACCAGACAGGTGATTCGCTCGGACACCTGTCGCGTCATCTGGGTGCCGATGGCCAGGGCGTCGTCCATCGACGGCTCCATGGAGCTCAGCTTGCGCTGTTGTTGTGCCTTCAAAGTGTTGGCCAGTGGTCCCACCACCTCCTCCTTCTCCTGCTCCAGGTTTTGCTCTTGCTCCTGCTCCTGCAGTTCCATCTCCTTGAGCATTTGCTGTTGCTGCTCCTGCTGCAGTTTGCGAAAGCGTGGGCAGAACCTCAGGAGGTCACTGCGTTTGCTGACCTTTGGAGTGGCCGTAGCCGTATCGACTGGCGATGGCGATGATCGTGGTTGTGGTGGTGGGGATTTCAGGGTTTCGGTAACACCGCTATCCTCGCTGTCACTGCCGCTGGCGGTTGAGGATTCACAGCTACTACTGCTGCTCAGCTCGAGATTCTCGAGAAACTGCTGCTCCTTGTGCTCCAGCAAGTCCTTCTTCTGCTGCTGCTGCTGTTGCAGCTGCTGCAGCTCCTTCTTTTCGCGCTTCTTCAGCGTGTACTTGACACTCCTAACCGCCTTCGATGGCATTCCACAGGCCATGTAGCGTTCGATCTGCTGCTCGTTGTTTTTCTCCACGATCCCTGAATTGTGACACATATTTGCATTGGTTTCTTTAGCTCCTCTTTTATTGATCAATTTTGGTAATCCTCTCTCTTTTTGGCACTCTTCTTTCTATCGCTTCGCACAGCAAAAAAATTTTTTTGGGGTTGTGGTTACTTGATTTTGTGTGTGTTGTGTGTGGTGTGTGTGGTGGGGTTCTTAACTTGCGAACTTATTAAATCAGGAATTTTGTTCAACACCGCGTTTTTATTATTTTTTATTGTGGGTTTGATATTGGATTTTGGTCCGTGGGGTTGGGTTAATTTCTGGGGTTGGTTATTTTTTGTTGATTCCGGGGGGACCAAGAGCGACACGCGGCGCGCTGAGGTGTGCGATTTTGAATGGGAAGTCGGCGCTGCCATTAGGTTTTATATATGCCGCCGACGAAGCCAGTTCTTGCGCCGACGTCGCCGTCGTTCGCTCTGCTTCCGCTCTCTTCAGAGCGTTTTCCACGTTCTCCACGTTCTCCACGCTCTCCACCGCTCGCCAATGCTCTTCGGGATCCACATTTTGCACTCGGTTCGGGATCGGACGGGATCGGTGGAGCTGATGCAACAGTGGGGCCAATGGCGTTTCGTTAATGGACTGTCGAGTAATCTAGTTCATCGTGATTGCGTGTTTTCTTATCCACAAAGTGCTTAGTTGAATCTTATTTCTTTAATCAGTCAACAAAAAATATATATATTTGAAAAACAAAAGATTTCTTTGATTAATATGAACCAGAATAACGCAAAAAAGATTTCTTGCCCACAAAGTGCATATTATTGTCCACCTGTTTAAATGCTGTTAATCTTTTTTTTTTTATCAAATTTATGAACCACACATAGAAAACAGAACTCTAAAATCCGACGTTTTATGTGCAGAAGCTAACCGTTTTTTTTAAGTAATAGAAAACATTAAAGTATCACAAAGTTAAAAATTAATTTTTGTAAAGCGTTTTACCTTTTAAAATGTTTTAACCCTGTTTTTGCATCTCAAACTTTTGCTACTCTTCTCTGTGTATAAATATAAATAAAAATGTAAGAAAAAAATACAATCTTCCTCTTGTTTTTAAATGATTACTGTTCCATTAATTAATATCATATCAACTTCTAAAATCTAAATATCGACAAATCAAAGTAATAATATTAAGGTCAGAAACTAAACTTGAATTTGATGAGTCTAAAACTGGACCTTTTTATAAACATATTTAAAAGCAAGGCAGATGTTTCTGATAAATTCGTTAGTAAGCCCACTGTGCGATGCATTTGAACTGGATTATCCGTGAAGAATGTGTTAAAAGTGTAATAAGTGAGAGAATGGGAGGCTGGTCCGCTGCATTGGATCTCTTAAATCCGTGCGAATAGTTAAGCTAAGAGTACCGCCACCTTATCACTGGGGAATCTCAATTAACGGCGGCTGTCACGCTGCGATCGTTTGGCATTTAGCCGCCTTATAAGCACCTGACAAATGGGCGCCACATGTGAATAGTTTTTGGACTAACCTTCACTCGGCCCTTCCCCCTCTTCCCCCCTTCCCACCCTTCCCCCTTGTCCGCTGCCTTTCTTTTGCCAAAAACTTTCCTACAATGTTGCGGCGAAAAGATTCCTTCGACGTCACCAGCGATGGAGCAATCCCCGCTTTATATGTAGGTACATATGTTTTTTGGATCCACCAATTCTGGTTTACCGATTATGAGTCGTCCGCTTAAATTCGGCGAATGGATTTCGATCACTGACGTCGTCGAGTGTATCGTACTTTTTTCGATTCGAAGAATCTTCCAAACAGTAATTTATACAAATATGTCTGGGAAATATCTATTACCTGTTGTTGGGGAAAACATTATAAATTTATCACTGTGTAAATCACTTTTAAATTATTTAAAAAAGCTACACCAAGTGCAATTTGTTATTATGATCTTAGATCTCTACCATTAAACTAACTATAGTACTCTTTAAGAAACTTATAATGATCCTTGATTTATTACTTAGGTAACTTTTTGACAAATGTATAAATACGTGCCATGTCCATATATTTGTAAATATGTTTAACCCATCATTTATATAAAATATGAAGGTTTTATTTTAAGCATGTTTTACATACAAATGTATATTTTCCTGGTTCATATCAAAAGGATTTTAGTTAAATAATAGAAAAACTATCAAAAAATTAAATTAAAACAATCCCCAAGCAATCATTAAACAATCAGAAATCGTTTAGTATTCTATTCAACGAAAATGGTTCTTAGTTTATAGGCTTAACGAAAGGAACACCACGGTGTGTTGCAGAAATAGCGTTCAATCTAAATGAAATAAGCCCGATACGAAATGCTAATGATAAGGATTGTCTGGGTGAATCATCCAGTGATTCAGTGGGGCTCGTCTAGGATCTACCCCACCGACCCCACCGACCAGACGGGCTCAAAGTCCCCGCCGAAAAGTGACCACTTCTTGCGATCTCCCACATCTTTCACCCACATAATGCGCAAAATAATGAAAGCACACACGCCAACGAGCTGGCAAAAAAAAAAAAAAAAAAAACAATAGAATAAACAAACTGATTAGTTAGTTGATTAACGGTCAGTTGAGCAAAGGTTAATCGTGGCCAATCAGCGGATATACATATGCGCTATACGAATCCGTGTTTAACCTGCGGTTCTTGAGAGCCTCGATGAGTGGGCAAGAAATCACGACCAATGTCACGATGTCCAGCCAATTTGGGTGACCAAATGCGGAACTAATCGCATTATTTGTATGCACCTTGGGGAGGCGGTTGGCCAAAAACGATCGTCTCGATCGGAGAGATCTACGTCCGGCCAAACGAATCGAAACAGAACGAAATGGATGGGCCTGTGGGACCGCAATTAGATAATGAGCAGTTTGTGGGCAGCCATCGATCGGCGCGATCAGCAATGCCAGGAATCGTATATAGAAAGCACTCTCCATGTACATCTTATCGACTCGCCGGGATCCCCTCTTGTCATGTGGTGCACGTTTTGCGAGTTGGCGGCCCCAAAAAAAATAGCAAATATTATTAATGAATGAATCTCGAATTGAATATCTGCAAATGGCAGTCATTCGATCAATCAGTCAGTCGAACAAATGCAGGGGGAAAAGTTTCAAAGATCATAGGTTGCCAGCATGATCAGTTAACAAATTAATACATTTTCCTCTTTTCAAGAACTTTTATAGGGGTCAGAAGTTAGGATAACTTAAAAATTAAGCTTATCACTTGAATTTTTCAGGAAAGAATAACATATCTTTATTAAATAATATAACCAGTAATAAAACCTTATATTTTGTAACTCAAAAAGTATATAATTTACGAATACCTCAATAAATTCAAAACAAAAATTATTTTCGTTTTGGTATTTCAATAAATTCAAATAGATATATCATTTTGATAATATATTTTGCACCTTGCCCACCAATAAATCAATCATTTGATTGGTAAATTATACATATGTACTTATTTGATATATATGACAGTAAATGATATAACGATCAAGTAAAACTATTCATAGAATGTTGACATTAACTACAGTACAAATAATTTGCTTATACTTTATTGTAGCTTATATTGTGGTCAAGTGGTAATTAGGCAATTCAAATAAGGATTATTTGTATTTCGACAATTAATTATTTACAAATTAAATACTTTCACTCCATGACCAAGTTAACATTAAAATAAAGAGTAATTAAATTATACAAATAAGGCTAAATGAAAGTAATGTCTAGAACAGTAAAACTGTTTATACTTTTGCGTTAAATTAATGAATAGTATTTAAATTATTTGAAATTTTTTGCATTCATTGGCATTTGTGGAAGATCACAAAGATTTCAGAAGGTTTTCATTATTATGACATGCTGTCCTATCTTATTGTTCGTTGAATGTTTGGACTTTGTGGCTATTCATCTTGACATTCGATTAGTTTTTATAGTTTTTGTTGGTTATATTTAGTTGTTGGTATTTCTATCAACGGGATGGTACGTGGGCCAAGTCTGGTTTTGTTATTTCTTAGTTGGCGCTGTGGCAAATTCCACTTCATTTTGCCTCAAATGCGGACGTGCCGGCCGGCTTTTACGTCATTTGGCCCACAAAATGTGGTTCGAAGGGAGGGTACCCAAAATATATGTATGTATGTATGTATATTCGGGGGACACTTGGCGATGTTTTCTTTTAGCACCTGACGCACACAACAAACTCAGTTGAAGAGAGCTAATGAAAGACGTCTGCGTCAGCATCAGCATCAGCATCAGCTGTCCATTGTGGCATTGATCCAACGGATGATGATGGGAAATATATTTCCACAAAAGCACACCCCCTACCGCCTTCTCCCACCCCCCCAAAAAAAAAAAAAAAAGAAACACCTCTTTTTCACACCCACCCACGCGCCTCCACTCAATCATTGTCCGAATCGCGGCGTAATCCCTTCATGGCGAAGAAAAAACAAAAACACCAGCCCACGTGAGCCGTCTGAGTAGATCCAGATATATAGATATATAGGTTATGCCCACTGCAGACACGCCCACTCCGCCCCCTTTTCTGGAGTCACATGAGTCACCTAAATCACCTGGAAGATTAGGCGTAGATTATTGACAACTCAATTAGCGCTAAAGTTTACAAAAAATTTTCAGCAAAAAATAAAAAGAAAGCATCGATTTTAGATTTCTATGGTTAAATTGGGATAGTTAATGTTATAATATAAGATATAATCCCTAAAAAGCTACAATTTTAAAGAGAATATCAATAACCAATGATATTGTTCATTGGTATATTAACTGTGATATTATTAATTTGTAAGATGTATTTTATATTGTTATTAATTATTTGGCAGTATTGGTAGTTAAAAATGAAGTAATGGCTTTTAGAAATCATATAATACCCCCTATAATACCAATGATAGTATAATAGTGTTTTGGCAAAAAGTTAAACAAAATCCTATGGGAAATGCCTTTTAAAATCATTACCCCGATTTAGGGAATCAGAATTTCAATAATTGGTGAAAATGTCCATATTTGGTATTTCACCATGAGCTAAACACATTTTTTGCGCGTGATAAGCGACTTGAAACGGACGGAAAGTTTCCGGAGAAAGAGAAAACTCCGATGCAGTTTGACTTATGTTATCAGTACAAGATGGTTGTTGTTGCTGACGGCAATCGATGTTGTTTACAACAGCAGCTCCATTGTTCACACAACAACACGACGTGTGCAGCGATCGACATTTATTATTTATATTTATTTATAATTTTTATTTTATTTTCTATGGCTCACTGTTGCCGACCGCCCGTTGCTTTCTGGGTCTCTCTCTCTCTCTCTCTCTCTCTCTCTTAAAATAATGAAAGAGAATCAATATTCGGCTGACTGCTTATCACAGAAAAGTAACAGGTTCAATGGCTCTTTACGCATCGATCTTCATCGATCTCTCACTCTCCGCTATCCGCTCTCCCGTCTCCGCTCTCACTATGATATATATGCGTATTTGGGCAGGTCAGTTAGGAGCAAATAAGAAACGGAAAAAGCCATAAAAAAGGGGTAATAAAAATGGCCGATCGAGTTAGGAATTAATTAAGACCGATTAGTGCTAATTAAGTCGCATAAGTATCTCCCATAGTGGATCGATCGTCATCTGTGGCATGCACCACGAGAATTATTTGCAATTAAGTGATCTGCCGCTCTGAAGTGAAGCAGTGATCTTTGACTGGGTGAGCAGATTAAGGCAATCAGCTGGAAAAATTCCAGAGGAGTTCTTTCAATGGCTGAGTGCCTAAGAAATCTTCTTCCTAATAAACTAACAAAAAGTCTGAAATTATTGAAAAAAAGTTCTCTAATTAGTATTAAAGTATACAGTTTATAATATATATATATTAATTGATACACCAATAAATAAGACAAAAGTCCCTTAGTAAAGTAGCAATTATATAACAAAGATAACACAATGGATTCTGCAAGTAAATAAATTATGTAGATTATTTTGTAATTGACTCATCAGCATTTACCCTTTTGAGATTGGATAGGTAGATCTTAATGATAAATTATTTAAAGGGATTAACTTAAATTGCATACTTATGACAAGACAAAGGCAATTAATCTTTAAGGAAGCCAATTAAATTAATGTATGACTTTAAACCAAGTCAACCTTTTTTGGACTCCTCTCTCAAGATATATCTCTGATCCAATCGGATTCAGAGATTGGCCAAAGTGGAGCGGCGCATTATCTCTGGCCGACGATCGCTCGCAAATTGCTCTGTTTCGGTTTCAATGCATCATTTTTTTTTTTTTTTTTTTTTTTGTGGAATTATTTCGCTTTCATTGATTTCAATTTGCAAATTGCGAGCGGTACAACGGAATTGTGCTTTGTTTCCCACAGCAAAGGAATGGACGACCCCATCCCCGTTCCGAATTCCCGGGTGTCCATTCGATGGCAGTCCATCATGCATATGAGGCAGTTCAGCCAGCAGTTCATCATCATCAAGAGTCCGCTAATCTGCCGTATCTGTATCTTGTACACAGAGAGTAATTTCTACATTTTATTCTGTTTCTCATGTATTAGTTTCCAATAATATTAATATAAGAAATTCAAATCAGAATAGTAAGTATTTTTTTAAATACCGTTGAAGTTGCATAGCACGAACCACAATTCGCTACAAAAATAAGTTCAAATTGTGAAAACTTCAGGTTATAGAACTTATTGTTAATCTTTCTGTCTTGAATATTCGTAAAACAAGTTCGATCTATAGAGCAGGAAAAGTTAGAGTTGTTTGCTTTGAGATTTTGAAAAACCATAATTTGAATTGGTTAAAGTAATATATAACATTAACAATTTAGATTTCAAGCTTCGACTAATGCAATTGATATTTCTTTTTATCAATTATGGCAAATTTGAATTTATAGTTTGCCTACTGAACAGCTGATTCACAGAATTAATTTGATTGCTATGCAGTTTTAGGGTGTTTTGTTTTTCTCCGTGTATCCGTAAATGTGGCTGCGACTCTTTCTTCTCACTGCCTTTGTGGATTTTGTTTTCATTTTTATTGCTTTTTTTTTTTTGTGGCTCTCTGAGCTGAGCTTGGTGGCTCAGTGGTTTGGTGGCTATGTGGCTCTGTGGCGCTGTGGCTCTGTGGAGAGTGGCCTACGTGACTCGGGAATCCGCGGCAATGTCCGACGACCGACTGGCGACCGGCGACTGTTGCAAATCGAAACGAACGATTCGCTGGATCCGCCACCAAAACCTGCCCCGGATCACAATTTGTCCGCCGCTCGTGCAAACCTCTTGATTATGTTATTTATTTATTTAGCCATGCTCGTTAATGTTTAATGTTATTGCCGCGCGTCGCCTCAGTAACAAACAAAAAAAAAAAAACGCTACAAAAAATCCCATCGAAACTAAACCTCATTCAAACTGATATGAAAGTCCTTTATGTTCAGTCGACACAGTAAAACTCTGATTAATATATTATTATTATTACAAATTCTTAAGATTTTTAAACCTAAAACTAAATGCAACCTTTTTTTGGCACATGGATGCTAAAAATCAATTTTAATTTAATTTTTTTTTTAGACAAAACCTTTAATTTGACCGTATCCTGAATATATTTTAAAAATGTCTTACCTTTTTTTACCTTTATAACCCAAAATTAGGTGTTTTTGTTTTCTTTAATTCTTCATCCTGAGTACCAAAATGAAAATATGTTTTTTTTTTTTGTGCCATTTAAACTACAAAATGTACATACCCTAAAATTGGGGTAACAGTTAATTGAAAACTGCTAGCGTTTCATGTTGCTCGGCGCAATGTGATCGCCTCTGATGTTGTTGCTGTTGGTGTTGTCAATGTTGCTGTTGCTGTTGCTGTTGCTACTGCTCCGATCCATAGACGCCCCCCTGTGGAGCTGGTGCGGATCGGGGGCCATCGCCTGGTTGGCTTGTCTGTCTAACGGCTGCGTCAGCAAGACACACAATATTTTTGCATGGCAACAACTTTTTGCTTTTTGGCGTGTGGCTGTTGCCACCACGAGTCTTACATTTTGGCCATGTGATCGCTTGGCTTGGCTTTTTGGCTTTTGAGAGGGGCAATGGGTGTTGGGGAAGGGTGGCCCCAGCAAATGCCCCCAAAAAACTGGTCGCAGCAATATCTAGCTGGCCTTTGGACGAAAGCTCATCTACGCCTACGCTACCTTATTATACAATAAAATGTTCTACTAAGGAAAATTCTAAAATCGGTAGATTTAAGTGCTACCATTACAGAATTTCATTTTTTAATGCGAGTGTTGGATAAACCTTCATTTTTATAGCAAATATTTCTTTGTATGTCCCATTAAATATACAACTATATAAAATTTTCTTGTATCTTTGAAAGATTCTAGATTAATATACAAAGTTTTATTGTATTAATATTTTTTTTCTGTGCAATCATAATGAAATAGAAGCAGGCAAACAGGTGGAAAAAGGGGGCGTGATCTTGCTATACTCGAAGCAATGCAAAGCAGTTAACACCCTTGATCTGCGATAATATTTACCAATCTCAGTTGTTCGTTTGTTTGTTTGTCCAGTGTTGAGTGTAACATCCACTTGGCAACAGAGTTTATTAACCGATTGATCTACATCATAGTTTTTTTTTTTTTTTGCCAGCTCCTTGGGAGTTTCCAAAGTATTGATTATTTACCCATCTAATATATTTTATTGAGCACACTGACTTGTAAATTATGTACGCATAAACTGGCTATTTAATGCCCAACAGAACCCATTTACTTGGAAAAAGTGGAAAGTTTTTTGGAGAAAGGGAAGCACAAATACAAATGGAAACTTTTTTATTTACCCAACTTAACTAGACTATTAGCTAACAAATTGTACTTGTCAGCTATAGGCTTTCCGGCAAAGGGATTATAAAATAATTATTTGATTGTGTAAACGTTGCTTGATTCCCTAGAATGGTGAATCAACATAAAAGCGGCAAGTGATTAATTAGAATTGGGTCATGCGTCAGCAAATATATATAACCTTTATCAAAAAAAAGGGAGGATAAACAACAAGACTTTAAACTTATGTATATATGAAAAACAAATAACTTGACTATTAAGTGTAAATTAAGATACATAATTAATCTATAGCTGTCACAATTATCATTAACTTTATGCCCCCTTTGTGGACCGTATTTGCAGGTGTACCTGGCACTTTTTCAGCCGCTGCACGTGACTCGCCACCAGTTCAAAAAGGTGCTCAACTGCATGAAGGTGATACGTGCCCTGAAATACCAGGAGGTCTATGCCCAGGAGAAGGTCACCAAGGTCGACAGCCTGTCGCTGGTGCTGAGTGGCAAGTGAGTGCTGGTGAAGATTCGTTTCCGCCCATAGACGTTAAACGTGTTGCTTTATCACTTTTATTCGCAGACTGGTGGTGTCGCAGCATCAGCGAGCCCTGCACATTGTGTTTCCCCATCAGTTCCTAGATTCGCCCGAGTGGTTTGGCGTCTCGACCGATGACTACTTTCAGGTGGGTGTGTCCATATTCCATATTCGATCGCCACTCGATTCATTAACATATCTCCTCTGCTTTCGATGGGACAGGTCTCCATTATGGCCATGGAGGAGTCGCGGGTGCTGATCTGGCATCGCGACAAGCTCAAGCTGTCTATTATGGCCGAGCCCTTCTTGCAGACCGTCTTCGATCACATTCTCGGCCGGGATGTGGTCAAGAAGCTGATGCAGGTCACCCAGGTTGGTTTCCCTGAATGGTTAAATATTTTATGGATACCTTTTTTTTTATAAAATTGAATTTAGATGTAAGAACCCCTACACATTTTAATTTGTGTCAAGAAGCTTAAATATCCATTAAGTCAAACTTAAAATCAATAAATCAGAAATGTCTAAAGGGGTCTTAAGTTAATGGTAAATCTTGATAGTTCCTTATTACTTTCAATATTAAAAGATAGTTAAAAATATTAAATTCCTTATTTACTGGCAACAAAAATCACCTAACTTTAGTTTAGTTCTTTTTTTTCTTTTACAAAAAGTTACGACACTTTTGTGAAATGATATTTAAAAAAGGTGTTATTTCTAAAATATCAAATAGTGCCCAAAGTTGTATTTTAAAAATTAATAATTTTTTTTTGTACCAATTTAATGCTTTAAAATTTGTTGATTGTTTTTTGCCTTCAGGTGAGCGAATCGATAGCCAGCAATGGCTTTCTGCCATCGGGAGGATATGCGGAGGATGCGGAGGACAAGCCCATGTTGATACTCAAGAAGAGTGTGGATGTGGGCCACGGACTGACGGCCCTGATCAACCGGCAGCTACAGGGTAAGTGAGGCCCCTTGACCCCTCCTCTCTAAACTATCTATCCACTATCCACCTAATCTTGTACAGTAGCGGTTAACAAAATAGTAACTTCAAAAAAAAAAAAACTTCACCCTTTAACTTTAATACTGTTAAATAGTTAATAACTATTAGTTATACATTTTTCTTATACAACTTTTAAGTCTAATAAAAAATGTTTACCGATCTATTAAACTCTCACAAATTGCACAAGCCCTGACGGATTTTTTATTTATTTACTTTGAAAGCACTAAATTAATGTAAAGAAGATTTTAAGATATATATATTTTTTTCAGTTTTATGATCTGTACATAAAAAACCAATACAAAAACATTAATCATTAACTCGGCAAGCAATTAAAATTTATTTAAAAAGTGTTTTATAACATATTATCATTTCTATTAATGTGACCGCTACTGTGGCTAGCTTTTCCCCATGCTTTTTCCATAACTTTCTTGGTATTTGGGGTTCTTGATTTCTTCATCTTGGACCCTTGAGTGTCTCTCTTTCCCCTGTGTCTCTATCTCTCTCTGTCTCTGTTTGCACGCTTTCTGCATGGCCTAAAAAAAAAAAAACCTAAAATCACCTGTATTGAACCCGTAAAGAGTTTAACTTATGTTTTTCCTTATGTACTTTATTTTGTTATGTAATTTGTTGTGCATTTTTGATTTTTGTTTTCGTTTTCTTTTTACCTTTTCTACGCCAAAACTCTAATTTTAGAAGAGCATGTTCCTTTACTTGGTCGCACGTACAAACAACAACAACAACAACTACTGCAACAACTAGAACAACAACAACAACAACAACTAGAACAACAACAATCCGTACAAGAAGCAACAACAAGCGCCAACAACATCGTTCAAAGTGCAATGTGAAATTATGCAATCGGCCCGCTGCTGCTCAACTTGCCACCAACAATCAGAGCACTCCACCGTCCCTTCACCTTTGAACTGCACAACAACAGCAACAACAACAACAACAACAACAGCAACAACAACAACAAAACCACCCACAAACAAGCAAACAATCATCAGTCATCATTCAGCCATCAGTCAATTAATCACACGCAGCAAGAACAACATCACGATCATCCGAGAAAGAACTGTCGAAGAAATCTGGAATCTATCCATCATCTAAATCTAAATCCGCATCTTGAATCCCACATACAATCATCTCATATCTAGCATAGCGACTAGCACTAGAACTAAACAAACACCTAACACATCTAATCGTTCAAATAGCAAAACTTTGTATTACACCACTAAGGCAAACAATCAGCCAGACACATACGATTTTTTGTAAACTTCTCGTCTTGGGAAACGTAAACTTTCCATACCAGCGGAAATGTTCTAAAAAACAGTGTTGTCAGATCTTAGGATCCTAATATAAACTCCCGTTTCTCTACCAAAATGATGTAAGCAAATCAAAATTGTGCATTGGAAAAAGTTTAAAAACAATACCAATTAAAACTCACGAAATCAAGTAGGAAACCTGATGAACTGACAACATTGTTACAAATTTATTCAATGTGCTCCCTGGATCCTTAGCAAAAAACTATCGATAGCTGTTGTCAAACCAGTTGTAGACGTTGTAATTTATTTTGACTGATCATGGTTGTATGTTGAGTTGTAGTCAAACAAGACGCTCATGATTGCTCATGAATCAGTTTCAGTTTGAGTGGGCATTTAGATTGAACACGCTCAAGACAGTCAACCAAGGTTTAGTTTTTAAATTAATTGATTATGCTTTTGATTTGAAAATGCAGTTAGTATTATTTGCTTTCCAAATGCATTACAAAATGTACTGGTACTGAAGTGAATTAGGTTTATATTATTAGGACAATTTCGGCGATCCTTTGATCACAATAAGATCCTACTTAATGTGCTATATTTCTTGCGGTTTATTTGACCAATATTCAGATTTTTTATTACAAACAAATATTCATAGGAGTAGAAATATATCAAGTAATGAGTATTAACTAGTTCTTTGACATGATTGTACATAAAATGACTATCATGAGAGCTGGTTTGATCAACAGCACTTCAGTTTTAGTTACAGACTTACGTTCTTAAGATCGAACAGGTGATAATTGAACTTTTTCGCTGGCCCATGTGTTTTTAATGCTTTAATTTGATTTAATTGATTTGACAACGCTTGGCATTTAATGGAAATGTACTGTGCTGGCACATCCATCAATTCGCTTAACTTCCATTAACACATTATTATTATTTTTTTTTTCTGTATTTCTTTATGCATATGTTTTTATCGTTTGATTTGTTGATTGATTTGCATACAAATTGAGCTTGAAGAAAGCGTGAAAACTAATTAGAATTAATATCGAATAATATTTGATAATTTTAAGCAATTCATAGCCTAAGCCGTTGTAAATACACTATATACATATATTTGCTGTACATAACCCCCGATTATTCGTGAATCCGAGAAACCCCAAATCCAACGCTCCCCCAAAAAAAGTGTAATAATCGAAAAGGAATCAATGTGAATGTAAACAAGCCAAAAACGAAAGCTAATAAAAAAAAAAAACGTATATAAACTTAATACCAAGATTTAGTATGCGAGATTTAATCCAATGAATTATCGAGAGTCGAGCTTCGTTTTAAACGAGCGAAGTAGGCACGCGCCCAGTCATTTGACATCATTAACATTATTTTGGCGCAAATGGCATTAATTTGTTTTTTATTTTAATTCGCAATATTTGGCCTGCTGCCACGAGGAAAAACAAAACAATATTTGTTATTTAATTAAACAATTTGTCTGTTGTCGCGATCGCCGTCGCCGCTTGTTAATTGCGATCATTTGTATAGGCTATATTTTTGTGCAGGGCATGCTTTCATCGTTCGCCTTTGCAAGCAATCATAGAAAATGGAAAACAAAATAGCATCATGCCCATAAACTTACATACAAAGTGCAACCGACAGCAGTACGCACATGCCACGCCCCGCCCTGCCCGATCACTTCCGCCCATTTACAATATGTGCTTAAAAGTGTTGTTTGGAAAAGCAAATAAATATATTTAGAGGTAGTTGCAGGTAATGGACATAGTCTTCAAATGATGTCATTTTTTTTATATAAAAACTAAATGTGAAAAGAACGATTTTCTAGTTAGTTTCATTATTATTTAAAATCCGATAAAAAGTTAAAGAGCTTATATATATTTAAAATTATAAATATTTTCGCAAAGCCTAAAATCATTTTTAAATAATTTTACAACTTACTGTTTGTCACTTTATTTCTTAATCACTGACGATCGACTGCGAAAGTAAACGTTGAAATGTGAAAATACTCATTATTTGAATAGAGAGTCTAAAAATAGCGTTTGTATTGAATTACTATTAGAATAGAACCTCTAGCCTTTCTAATAACTGGTCAAATATTTAACCACGCGTTAGAATTATCACAAAATCGGATTGATAGTGCCCCTATTGTATTGTTTCCCACCTCCCTTGTATGCTAATCACGTTCCACTGATTTCTTAACATCAACGACAATAGTTATAATATATATGTTTGATTTGTGATGAAATTTATGTATTTTATTTTCTATTTTTTCGGTGACTATAATTTTGTTGTATGTCTAACGTAAACGTTCCAAACAAAAAAAAAAAAAAATCCATCATAAACGTTAATCAACAACAACAAAACTACAACAACAACACCTACAACCCAATCCAACAACAACTACCACGAAAACAGCCCTGCCCAGGATATCGAAGTACTACGATTGCGGTAAGTTAAAAAACCGATAAGGAAAAGGATCTCAAGTTTCGGAAACCGAAACCTTAAATGCCCTTGCAGACCGATGTCTATTTTCGAAATATTTTTTAGAATTAGTGGTCCGATTGGAGTACAATATTTTATTGGGATCTTGGGGTCTTACTTCTATAAATTCGAAAACAACTTAAAGTTCCTCGAAAAACTAAAATGGTTTTGTGCCATAGAAATTTTAAGGGATTTCAAATACATTGCCGATTTGTTAATAAGTATGCTGTAAAATTTACATGTTAAATTTTCTATAAGATATGGGAAAAAATAATTTATCAGCGTTTGCCCAGTGTTATAACGCCTATGGCCGCTTACTTACTATTTTGGTTGCTCACTTTTAGGCACATCTTTTAGTAAACATTCTGTAGGTCTGTTTGCTATCCCTTTTAGAGTTTTGAAAATATAAACTCATTGTAGATTGAAACTGAGAGATTAGTTAAATTTTTCTGGTCCGATTCTACGAGTATTTCCATCCAAAAAAATCGTATTCCCTCTGCAAGGGTCTAAAACAACAAAAGAGCAGCTCATCGCGTATGTATGTATGCCAGTCTGTGTGTGTCTCCGTCTCTTTCTCTGTCTATACAGCTTTCTCTATCTCTCAGTCGGTGTTCAAATTTCTGTAGTGTGACCGTTCGTGTGCCTGCTTTTAGATTTGTGCATGCAAAACTTTTTAAATTGTTAATTCCAATGTCTTGGATAAATTTAATAAGCAAATGTATGTATTTTTAAAGTGTTTGTTAAGTTTGGGAGTCTTAGCCTCTGCCTCTTCACTCCTAGTCTAGGGATATATGAATGCATATTTTAAAATATGTTCCTCTTTTTCTTCTCCTTTTTCTCTATTTGTGTTTTTGCTTTTAGCTGGGGATCCTAACTCTTGGCGCCTTGGACGGATCGATGAAACGGACCATGAAACGGCCGTTTGAGAGGGATCGAGACGAAATATTTAGACTTGTGTTTTTGAGTATTATTAGGTGTATATTTTAGGCAATACTGAGGAACGGTAATCGTGGAAACCAACAGAATGGATCCAAGGAAACCAAATGCCATGAGTCGTTATATAGAGAATAATTTATATATACTATTTTGAGAAGGCATCAATTTGAATTCGGGTATTCCTCTCTTGTAGTCGTGAAAATTATTGAAGATTATTCTGTACATCAATTTTGTTTCTTGCATTATTTTGAAAACATTTATGGGATTACATTGAAGCCAAAATTATTGCTAAGTATTACATTCGGCCCACAAAATTGTATTTTTTTTAAAAAAGTAGCCATAATTTTATTAAATGTTTCTATTCAAGCCATTGCGAGATGAATACCCCCTAGAAAGAGAATGAAAATATATATGTATACACAAATTATATATTAATTAAATCTAGTCTAGTTGCAAATTGTATTACGCTATAACTACGGATTAGACGAATGACAAACAAGACCGATAATTCGACGGAGAACAACTGAAAGGAAATGTTTATTAATTAAATGGAGAAATATGTATTTTTTTATTACCCTAAAGTTAAGAGATTATAAACGAAACGAAAAGAAGTCGGGTGAAAAAAAAAACCAAATCGTTGAGTGTGCAATATACAGATATAAATATACGATATGTACATGAATATATATGATTAGTTAACGAAAAGTTTGTTTGTGGCTACTCCCTGCTAGATGCAAAGCAAGAACACATTCCATCGTTGATTAAACCCTTTAAAAACCTATAGCATTCGAAACATTTTTTTACATACAATTCCCGCCTAAATTGTCACCTCAATCATTACCACTTCAATCAAAATGTTTGTTAAAGTGCAGAGTTCTGCAATCTACCCATAGAGTTAAATAGTCCCTATTGCTTTTGTATCTATGTATGTATGTGCCTGAATTAATGCATATGCATCAATCAAAAGTTCAATAATATTGAAGCCCGACAGTGAATTAGCTAGGTATAAAAATAACACATCCAACAAGCATAACGAACACATATAAGTGAGCGCCTGCAAAGAAAAACCTAATTAAACGCGAAATACACTGGACTGCAAATACACTCAGCCCCCGCCCATGGAGGTTTCAAGCTGACCCCCTTTTAATTTAATAACCCCCCTCCCCCGCCCCCATTTAATGTAATCAAAACCCATGCCATTATGCATAGAACAGGAATTTGGTTTCACTCCCACGGAACTTCCCCTAAATTGCAACGCATTGTATTGTATCGATCCCAACGTTTGTCTCGTGTAAGTTAATGGTTAGAAACAACAGATCCCCCAGACCCACATAGAGCATACACAAAACTACAACCCAACCAAACCGAACTAAACCAAACCAAATTAAAACCAATAGTTCAATGTATTTCGTACCTTTGAGTATAATTAAAAATAAAGTAAAATGGACATGAAATAAACACAAACATAAAGTTGGTATTATTGAGGAAAATGATGATTTTAATTTAAATTGATTATTTTAAAAAAGGTAAGTTTAAGGGGGAAAAGAAATTGTGTGTGCATTTTCTTATATGGTTATATTGATTTGAACTGATACTTAAATGCAAAATACCGTTGGTCATTTTAATTTATTAAAAAAATTTTGCCTTAAAGTATATGTACCTTGAAAAGAAAGTCTGTTTAAGCCCTGATCTTTTGTAATATTTATATTACTGACAAATAAGCAAGCAAGAAGGATAAGGTTATATGAAACATAAGCTGTTTTCCTTGCTCTATTATAAGTTCCACGAAAACCTTGAGTTTTGCCTTTTGATTTAATATAAATTGGGCCAATTAAATTCCCGGTATGCAATGTTTCGCCCACAGACACGTTGCTTTAGATAATAGACATTGCGGTGAAGGCTTGCAAGCATTCCGGTTTAAGTTTTAGTTGCAGGTTCAGCCTTGAGTCTAAATCAGTTGGAAGAGGGCTGCAATTAATGCATGCAACTGGCCACAAGTCCGGACACAACTTTGGGCCCACAGCGAGGACAATGTCCAATTGACCAGGCTAAAACCCTCGCAAAGTTAGCCCAACGACATTTTTAATATTTGATGTGGTTTTCTCCGCTGTCTGCAATGCCAACGGGAAAAATAACAAACTTACAAACATCTACTTTAATATCAAGCAAAAGCTTTCGAAAAAAATAAAAAAATAAATGCGATGTTTTGGAAAAAGTTGTTAATTAGAAAAAAATCAATTTAATCTTGGCTAATATAATTTTTATTTATTATTAAACTCTACATTTTTTTATAAATCTTATTTTTATTGCAAGGCAAATTCTCGTTATAAGGATAAAATATTTTCAAAATGTTTATCTTATAACATATTTTATATTGTTATGTATATAAGTTATTTTCCCAGTGCTCTTCGTGGCTCAACGCCTTATTTATATGTACATATATTCAAATTGTGTGGTCCACCTTTAAACTTTTTTTTATCTTTTCGCCCCCGGAAAGTCGACTGGTGGAAAAGTGCTTCTGCCATGGAATTTTCACTAAAAACTTTTGCTACATGTATCACTCAGACAAGCAGTCCTCAAGCAGTGCGGCAAGCAGTCAATTGCAGACCGCGTGGAAAACTGTTGCATATTTAGGGGGGCCCAGAGGTTTTATTAACTGAGCGGGACTTCAAAGCGTCCTGTAAAGTCCTCTGTTGGTGTGGTGTGTGTCTGGGTGGATGTGTGGGCACATAAATAGGTGGACTTAATCCCAGTTTCACAGGTCCTTGCTTTATTTTTAACTCGTCGCTTGGTCACGTGTCCTCGCGTATGGAAACATACAGTACTACTGCTCTCATGAAAATT